CCGCAATCTTGTTTTCAGTTCCGATTATTCCGGAATTTTTGTACGACATCAATCATCCCGACGCGCCTTTGGATAAGCCGAGTCGAGCCATAACAACAAAGGCTACACCAACTCCGAATCCATGTGCAAAGTATATGAAAAATCTAGATGTCAACATTACTGCTACGACATCGAACTATTTGGGTAAATCCCTACAATGCCAAAGTAACGCAAAACATTGTTTTCTTGCAGATAACATAACAACAACGCTAGATCCTGAAACGGAAGAAAAAGAATTAAGACACAAGGATCTAGTCCAAGAAACAGTGCAAGTGGGAATGATGTTTGCTTCGAAGGCATTTGTGCAGTTACTGGCAAATCCATTCGTTGGACCTCTAACTCACAAGTAACTAGAGATTTTTTAACACATTCACTTTGTGTTTTTCGCCTTTCAAGCAATAAGAAATTGTTTTCTAGGAAAATTAGAGTTGAATTAATATAGAGAAAGTCTTGAAACTGAAACACAAGAAATTTTAATTGATTTTTAATCATTTTTCAGAATAGGCTACAGCGTCCCCATGTTTGCAGGTTTCGTCATAATGTTTCTTTCAACAATAAGTAAGTAAAACTTTTTTCGATTACGCCTAAATAGCCGATTTAATGAAAAATTTTCTGGTGTTTACATAATCGGCTATTTTAATTGTAAATTTTCGCGGTGTCGTCGTGCAAAGTCTCGGTGAAACAAATTAAATTACATTTTCAATGTAAACTTTCATAATTAGAAGGTTTCACTGTCTCTTTTAATTAATGAGATCAGACGTTTTGGCAAATTCATTTCACTTTTTTTTTCTTTAAAATTTCATACATGTACGAATCGATCCCTTCTCGATGTCCTGATTAAACACCCGATAAATTGGTTAGTGTAAAAGGGCGAACATCTGAAGGCGCTTTGTGATAATTCCACGTATAAGTGGTCCTAATTAAATCACTTCCGGAAGCTGCGCTAATAGGAGTCGACTCTGAGACTAATGGAGGTGCGCCGTAGACAAAATAAAACACGATTCGCATCCCTTCAAGGAATAATCTCGGATTTTTTCCAAATGACTAATTGGAATTGTCTATTTCAGTATTTGCATTCGGTCGAAGCTACAGCGTTTTGTTCATTGCGAGGGCACTCCAAGGAGTCGGATCTTCCTGCTCCAGCGTATCCGGCATGGGAATGTTAGCTGAAAGATACCCTGATGACAAAGAACGAGGAAATGCAATGGGGATTGCATTGGGTGGATTGGCACTTGGGGTTCTCATCGGGCCTCCTTTCGGAGGGGTCATGTACGAGTTTGTGGGGAAATCGGCGCCGTTTCTTATCCTGTCGGCGCTAGCTCTCGGCGACGGCCGTAAGTTGCTACTATATACGTAAATGCATGTTCAAGACAAAATGATTTTTAGGTGTAAAATATATCGATTCTAATAAATTATGTATATTCTATTAAAATATATTTTAATATTAAAATTTCAAGAATTTAAAAGTTTAAATTTTAGGGATTTTGCCCTGTTTTTAAAGTAGGTACTATATTAAAAAAGTTAAACGTTTAAGGCACTTCGACCTCTTTTATACTACAGTGAAAGAACTAATATGTATATTTTATGATAACTACATACTCTAGAATTAGACGAGAACAAAAGCACACGAACGAAATGAATTACGATTTATTTATTTCTAGACCTACCATCAAGAATAATTAATATTTTTAGATATAGAAATCGTTTGGTACAACAGTTGTTTATTTATCAGTGTGTAGTGAATGAACCACAATTTTCATGCATAACTTATAGCTTTGACGCCAAATTAAAAAAAAAACACCCTTTATTTCTTTTAAAATAATACATTTTTTGTGTATAATAAGTTTTCTAAAAGAGTTGTTAAGTCTGATGAATTTCAGTTGGACATGTTTGATATACATACAGGGTGTTTCACATAATTTTACGTGGCCTACGCCTGTAAGATGCAATCAATAATACATATTTTAATACGAACTCGATTACAAATTTTGAAAAATTGGATAATCTTCTCTAGTTTGTTCACCCTTTCAAAAATTACAACGTTTTAAGTTAGTTAGTGATTAAGATAGATAAACTAGAATCATATTCAGGCCGTCTCTTGATAGAACAAATGATAATTGTTCCTGACAAACAGCAGTTTATGACTATTAATGAAACAGTGATTAGTTTGACAGCTACTGTTATGGGTTTCTAAAAATTAAATAATATTATTAAATAAAAATAAAATAGATAATAAAATAAATAAAAATTAAAAAAAATCTGTTTTTATTTTCTGTCCCTGTTATACTTAGTACACAAAATTATAAATACTCAGTAGATCGATTGCTATTGTTCAGAAGAATAATGAATGTTCAGTAATACAATAACAAATACCAATAAAAAATATGAATAAAAAATATGTTCTTGCGAAGGGGCCATACACTGTTATGCAACCAAGACTGTTACCCAAATTTTATGTTATTTTACCAATTTTGAAGTTACTAAACGTTTATTATTTTTACTGTGCAAATTGGATTTTTCTATTGTGTACTTTTATGCTGAACAAATTATAATAAAATACTGTGCGTACTCTACTTATATTTTATAATTTTTGCTGTGCAACATATTATATTAAACTGATCATTTCTAGTTTTTTACCATGCAAACATTTGTTAAATACTGAGCATTAAATTTATCATTTTATACCGAATAAAATTGAATTGTTTACTGAACGCTTTATTGCTACACTTTTTTTTGTCTCTTCTCTGCTATACAGGGCGACAAAAAAAGTCATGTGACAACTTGACAAATTTTACATCATTTTGTTCGTCTCAGTGACACAAATCAAATGCACACACACTGAACTAATTTTTTTTTTCTAATTTAAATGAATTTAAAATACTTTAACTTAAAAAAATCAGTACTCAATAACTGTTAGGCCGATTTCCTTCAAATAAAGACCATTCTAAAGAGATGGACTTGCCCTTTAGAATGATATGCAATTTGAAATTGAATATTGGCAAACTTTTCTTCGAACAGTGTTCGAAGAAGTTCGAAGTAAATCGAAGTAATCTAGGAAAAACCCTACGATTAATTTTTTTTTCTTCGTCACCATCGTGTAGAGCATCTTTTTATTAGTTAGAATCCAAATTTTTAAAATAATATACCGAGTAGTTTTTAAGATATGATTTTTTGAAGTTAAGGTTTGCTATTCAGGTATTACGCCATATAGGAGAAATGCATGTTCACCTTACTTAAAATTGCATTTTTATAAAAGTATTTGTTTTAAGACTCTTCTTTTGCTTAAACATGGTCAACTGCACTTTCTTTGTTCTAATTAGAATAAACAAACACTGTTTCTTTACTTAAAATAAACAAAGAGTACCCACGTACTAATTAAAGCAAATAAAGAGTTTTTTTGTTGTAAAAATGATCACTGATCATTAGCAAAGAGGATTTAGAAGTTTAAGGCATGAGGCTTAAATATAAGTACCTACTCTAAAAACATAACTAAATGCAAAATATATTTTTATAATAATGGAATCTATAGATAAGTAGATATAGTATTAAAGTTTATTATATCAATTAAAAAAAATTGTTAAAATTTCAAGGCGGTATAAAAGAATTAAATATTCAGCCGATTGATTCGAAATTTCATGGATTATTTATGTTCTTTGATTTTTTTTATAAATTAATATTAATTCTGAAATTTGCTTCTTTTTAAACGATTTCTCGAGTTACACCTCAATCAATACTGAAAATTGAAAACGAATTCCGAGAGCAAATAAATGCTTGTCATTTCTCATCTTCACACACTAAATTTGCCGTAAAATCTTGAGTACACATCTAGAAGTAGAGGGTTTCAGTATCTCTGAATCGTTTTTTATTTGTTGCAACTTTATATGGTGCTTGCGAATTTATACGTTATGCTTCATAAACATGAAGGTTTTTCTCAGGTTGTGATTTCATTCGTTCCACTACAGTAAATATGGCACCATAAAACACATCATTCATTGTCACATAACATATTTTTCCAACTAAAAATCGATCGTAATTAATTTTGCAACAAATTGCTGAATTTATTTAGAAATATTTTTTTGGTTCGATTTCACTTTTTCAGTCCTTCAATTGTTGATGTTACAACCATCGGTCGTTCGTCAGGAATCCGACCCACCGTCACTAAAGGCTTTAATAAGCGATCCTTATATAGTAATAGCAGCAGGTAAGTAATAGTACGGCTAGACTAAACAACAAGAAAAAATTGTGATTGCAAAAGGTGCAATAACATTTGCCAACATGGGTATTGCAATGTTGGAACCTTCTCTTCCCATCTGGATGATGGATACGATGGGTGCCGAGCGATGGAAGCAAGGAGTGACTTTTCTCCCAGCCAGTATTTCGTACCTTATCGGTACGAATCTTTTTGGACCATTAGGTCATCGTATGGGTCGTTGGTTGGCCGCTCTATTGGGTCTCGTCATCATAGGGATTTGTCTAATGCTGGTAATTTAACCAACATTTTTTTAATTTTTTTTCTGCAAAATTATAATTCAGATACCACTAGCAACAAGCATGAACCATTTAATCGTCCCAAATGCCGGTCTTGGATTCGCAATAGGGATGGTTGATAGTTCCATGATGCCTGAATTGGGTTTCTTGGTTGACATCCGACACACCGCTGTTTATGGTAGCGTCTACGCCATCGGTGACGTCGCTTTCTGTCTTGGTTTCGCTATTGGTAATAATTATTATTAACATAATCGGTTCTTGCGTAATAAACGCTTTCTTTGTCACATTTTTGCGGTTTTTGGTATTTGTGCGTGTTTATTTCCTGCTTTCTCATTCATGCGTACCACTTCAGGCCCAGCTTTGAGTGGAACTCTAGTTAAGAAAATCGGCTTCGAATGGATGCTTTTCGGCATTGCCATACTCAATTTCCTGTACGCACCACTTCTCATCAGTTTGAAAAATCCACCAACGAAAGAAGAGAAAAAGGTAGGTCACACATGTTTTATTGTAGAAAATTATACAAAAAATTTTGTGCAATAAACTATACGTTATGATGTCCGGTTTTCTTATCACAAGTGCAGTCCCCCTCCATTATAGGTCTCATAACATACAAAACTCTAATTGTATCGGTGTACCCCAACCCTCTTTGGGACCCATTGACTGCCACAATTGGGTCTCCCGACCTGACAAATCCGCTCCATTTCCCAAAACTAATCCCAAAGCTGATCCTCGCTTCAATATCTCTCTTCCAATCATCCTTTCTTTCGACTTCATAAAAAAGTGGTATGATACCCCTAAATAAATTAGCTTGTTTTGCAACTGTCGGATCACGTGTCACCAGAATAATAGGGCAACTTGGTCGATACTTTGCTAGTAAATAAGCAGATCTTCCCGAAACTGTGGTAACAATAATCGCAGCTGCTAAACACTGATTCGCAGCTTCGACTGCTGCTATACAAACCGCATGAACTGTTTCCAGAGGAGGCCTCACGTGCGCAGTTAAGTCCTTAAACTGGTGTTTGTACCAAACAGCCCCTTCTGCTTCTTTACAAATTTTGGAGGCGGTGCGAATACACTCAATCGGGTGAAGACCTAGAAAAGTTTCCCCTGTCATCATCACGCAATCGGCACCGTCAAGAACTGCATTTGCAACATCGGTACATTCGGCCCGTGTGGGCCTAGGCCGTTTTATCATCGAGTGGAGTAACTGATTGGCACAAATCACCGGTTTTCCTGCTTTGTTACACTTTGCTATAATGCTTTTTTGGGCTAGAAAAAGCTTCTCGGGGCCGATTTCCACAGCTAAGTCGCCTCGGCCGATCATAATACCATCGGAAGCTTTTATTATTTCGTCAATATTGTGCACTCCTTGGTGATTTTCAATTTTTGAAATGACCAAAATTTTGTTACCCGCCCGCCCGAGGACGTCTCTAACTTCAGAAACGTCAACAGCATTGCGAATAAAAGAAGCAAAAACAGTGTCAATTCCGTGCTCGATTCCGAGAAGTAAATCTTCTTTGTCTTTTTCCGAAATGACGGGTAAGTCCACGTCGAGTCCTGGGAGGTTCACATTTTTGCAACTCCCAAGCATACCTCCGTTTTCAACAGTGCAAGTCAAGACTGAGCCTTGAACGCTGGTACAAATTAAAGAAATAAGACCATCGTCGAGGAAAATTCTATTTCCAGCTTGAACAATTTTTTGGATATTGTCATAATCGACGTAGATTACACTGGAGCTTCCTTTCTCGAGATAAGCCTTGTCTGTTGTTAATTTGATTTGTTCACCCTTTTTTAATTCGACTTCGGCGGCGATTCCACCTTCCATGTAACCGGTTTGGATTTCGGGTCCTTTAGTGTCGAAGGCTAGAGACAGGGGGAACATGACTCCGAGTCTTTTAGTGTAATTTTCAGCAGCAGTTTTCACATTTTGGATCAATTCCATGTGCGTTTGTTGAGTGCCGTGGGAGAATTCTAGGCGAGCTATGTTCATTCCAGCTTCCATCATTTTTTCTAATGTCTCTACATCAGTAGTTGAGGGTCCAAGAGTACAGATTATTCCAGTTAGGCGGACTTGAGCTGCGTGTGATTGAATGTCAAGCAAAGAGTTGTGATCTAGAAAAGTGTTGGCAGCTCCTGCAGTGAGTTGTTTCGGGGGAGAACAATGGAAGGGTCTAATTTGTTCTTCATCTTCGTTTTCTCGTTTATACCAAACCATTATGAAAAAAAAATGTCAAAAAATTGTCATTTGCTATTGAATCATGTCATTGTTTTCAGATGTTGCTGATGGAAGAGAAGACTTCGGTGCGTTATGTCACGTACCAGAATGAAGACGAAGAGGAATAAACTTGGCAATGTTTAGTATTTAATGTTCCAAAGAAAATTTGGATGAGGTATTGTTAATCCGCGCTCTGGGAGCGTATGAACAGTCTTTCAGAGTTTATTTTGTGTTAAGTTTAGAGCATTGTAAGATATGAAAGATTGTGCTTCTGTACCCGAAATCGACTCTTTGATGGGAGTTGCAATAATCAAAATTGTTTGTGTCGGGGCCCTCGTTTTTGGATTATTGTGAATGGCTGCACATAATCCAGTCCTGCGGGAGACGAGGCAATCAGACGTCCTCGAATTCAGAAACCCATTGGCTTAAATTGTGGAAATTGTGGCGCTCCCATCTCAAGCCCGGCTAATGATTGCCATACAGCATAAATAATATTCATCAGTGTCTAATCTTATTTATAATTTGTGTAGCAACTATTCGGCTGAAATATGCATATAAGAGAATTGCTGAGCCAATCAAAACACATCATTTTTGGAAAGCCTGGTGTGCTGGGGTCAGCCCCCGAGGATGCAGTAAGGGGACCTTAATGTTGATGCTTATTTATCGTTAATTATATAACCAAACCGTATAACCTGTGACTCGGTCGTTGTGTTTTTATCTGTCTGTCGTCTCCGCAGATATTTTACCTTCAGGAGGTCCGAGCTCCAAAGAAGATTATTGTGAAGAGACAATAATCAGCATTGTAATCAGTCCCAATATACCTGTGACCAAATAAAAACATTTTCGTTTAAAGCTGGTAAGGGTCCGAACAACAAGGGCAATCATGCACATCGCGTGATGCCGTTAAGTATTTTTGCTAAACAATAGGGCCGCAAGGTGGTACCTAGTTTAGATCTAGTCTTAATTGCATGTTAGACATTACTCTTAGAGAGATCTATTTAACACTCGATATGTAGGGTGGCTATAAGTGGTACTTAATGTTCGATGTTATAATGTCTATCTAATTTGTGGTGCAATAAATGGAACAAAAGTTATTAAACTTACAAAAGGCTTTCATTACACTCCACTCCCTCTCCACCATTTTAAAATTTTTTGCTCCCGATTTTTTATTAAATTGTGGTGTACTTATTAACTGCAAAAATATCGATAGAATTATTTTTTTACATGATTGGAACATTGGTCGTAAGCATTTTTAGACCAAAAACACTTTCATCTCAAATTCGAGTATGTTCATGCAATAAAAGTTACCTTTTGAAAAATGGACAATTTCAACATTTTTTCCAATATTTTAAAAGTATTTTTCTTGGAAACTGTTGGTCTTGTTAGATAAATACATAAAATTGACAACTTGTGATTTATCTAATGATTTTACATGAGAAACTAAATATAAACTGAGGCATTCCAAATCTTCGGATTGCCGAAAAATATCTTAAATTTTCTTATTTTCACACCAAAACGACCACAAAACCAAGAAACACCACACAAATTAAATTTTTGAATCAATCTATTGTCTAAGCTTTTTAGCTTTTCGATTATTTACCTAATTATTTTTACCTAAATATATATATAAACAAGTGATAAAATTTTTAATTTTTATATAAAAGTTTCCTATGTATCGAAAAATACCTACTATCTAAGGGAGTTACACCCCCTGAAAGAGGTTGGTTCTTAATGGGTTTTTCCAGTATTTCAGAAAAAATAAAATGACAAAATTTGATACAGCTGGTAACCTTTATACATCTAAACGAATTCAAAGATAAAATGTCAAAATTTTTAATTAGGGGTGTCCGAAACTGGGGGATTATATAGGGTAATTTTAAATTTTTATGCTGGTTATAAATTTTATAAATTTTAAACCGATTTTACTCAAACACGGTAGGAAGTTGTATCGAAAAAACGTAAGAGATCTTTTTTTGTGAAAAATTATGGAATCGAGAATTGTGTTGCTGAAAGTGGAAAGAAATTACAGCCAAAAGAGTTAGGGTACTTTTTCCCTATACCCACCCAATTTAGAACGTCCTTCGCATTAAAAATTTCGGCATTTTATCTTTGATATGTTTAGGTGTATAAAGGTAACAATTTTGTAACTTTGTCTACAATGGTTTCTAATATATTGAACAAAAACTCGTTAAAATATTCACCCCTTTTGTCTTAAAATTGATTATTCTATCACCTGTTCAAATTTGTAACAATAAAAACAGAACAACCTTTATTATAATGAATGCTGTTTTGAGGTTTTGAAAGGGGAAAAACTAATTTTTTGTGACCTTTTTCGAGTTACTAGATTTAATCTAACACTGATATCTTTGACTTTCAAAAATAATACTTTCTGTTTCTTTCTCTTGTTGAGTCTACAAAAACTAGATGTATGAAATCCATCTCGTCATCATATTTGTGCAATCAACCGCAAAATTCTGTTACCAATGGTCTGATAATTTTTGTTTTTTTTTATAAAATAGATGAAAAAATTGAGGATTGGAATGTTGTGGGCTTGCGTTATCACTGTCACGCAAAAGGCCAAATCATAATGAATAATATAGATTGAAATGACAGGTGATTAAAAAATACAGGTCACTAAGGCAAGCCCAGAAAGGCTTTAGAAAGGATCATTCCGAAAAAATGCACTTTTGCCTTACAAACTAATTTACTTAATTTATTGTTGTAACTCGTACTACAATTTATATTGAGTATTTCCGTTCATGTAAACACAAGACATAACTTGCAATCAGCAATAATATACACATTTTCCAATTTTTATGCATATATTATGTACTTGATACATAGTAATTATTTCCCTCCGTTTGCATTACATATTTGATGAAAGTAATTCGCGTTTATGTAATGTACGTGTAAGTACTCGACGAAAAAGTGCAAAGTCGGGACACTTTCTCTATGACAAGGGCAATCGAATTCGTAGATACGAGCCCACCCACCATATCTATAAAGCTGAGAACTCGAACGGTAAGGGTGCAGTGTTGTTTGTAATTGTGTTGGGACATAATGGAATCGATCAAAGTGAGTAATACCATTGCGACGTATTTTTCAAACATTTTTAATTATTTTGTAATGTGATTAGTTGATTACACACTATTTAAAAATGTTACTCTGGCGAAAAAACACTGGAGTAACCAAGTAGAACAATTTGATATTGAGGCATTTTCCGCTTTGGTGGTTTAATTTTTGAGATTGTGTGAAAGTTATTTTATAAGAATTTTTTTTTTTGTAGATTATTGGACTTTTGGCCTTAATCTCGCCCTCCTTGTGCCAATACGGCGGCCAGGGCGGTGGAGAGGGCCAGTACCAAGACCAGTATAGTTACAACAGACAACCGCCGCCTCAAATTCTCACCCACAAACAAGCGTTGAACCACGACGGCAATTTCAAATACCTATTTACATCAGAAAACGGTCTTGCCCAAGGAGAAAGTATCGCACCTGACGGTTCGCGCAATGGGGGCTATTCGTACGTCGATCCCACAGGCCGAAAAATCTCAGTCAAGTACACAGCAGGCAAAGAAGGGTTTAGAATACTTGAAGCCGACCATTTGCCCAAAGCACCACAACCTGTACATCCAGTCCCCGGAGCCGGTCTCCCCGTGCAAACCGGCCCTCAGAGTTTCGGAGGCTACGGCCGACAGGACGATGGCCAATACAGGCCTGAATTGTACCCGAAACCGCAGCCCTACACCGGGGGGTTCATCCAGACTAGATCGGCCTATCAGCCCCCTCCGGCACCCATCGCATCCAATAACATCGGGGGTGGTTTGAAAGAACCGGAATATAATGATGAACCCGGAAAACCACACAGTTTTGGTAATGGATACGTGTTTGAATTTGGAGGATAGAGAATAAGTCGTGAATGATAGTTGAAGATTGTTTTTTTTTCTGTCTTTAAGGGAACTACATACTTAATTTTTTCTTAAGCTTTAGGTTTAATTGTTGTCTTGAAGTCACATTCCTAGACGATGTTTTTGTTTTTGTTAGTGTTTTTACAAAATTTTGTAAATATTTTTGTGATACAAATTTGTATTTCCTTTGCTTGCGCTGCATTATACTGACAGTACCAATGTGTTGTATTTTATTCTGTTTCTGTTCTTAATAAAAAGATTTTTCATCTCCAAATCTTATTTCTTTGAAATCAGCCTATATACAATTCAGTGTGTGTGCTGATAAATTTCTGATAGGTATTTATAGAAAAAAACAACTTTCTGTAACAGCAGATTTTGTAAAAATTTATGAGCGGTGTAAACTTTTGACAGAGTAAAGGTGTCTTGAATTAAAATTAAAAGCCGTAATCTCTGCTATGAAAACAAAAGGTGATTTTGTGTAAAACATTAATTTACTATGTTTTAAAATTTATTATGTCAATAATTGTTTCACGAGAGTAATATACATTACTGTAAGAAAATTGCAATTAAACTCAGGAAAGCAACAAACAAATTTCCCGCGTCTCTTGGGGGAGTTTCTTGCTTATGGTTGGTAAAAGAGTACAACAAACAAAAATCGCGCATGCGTTTTAATGTCATTAATCCGAAGAAGTGCATTTGTTGACGCCATTTTCGGATAAATAAACCTTAATTGACTTTATTAAATGGACAAATTGATTTAAATTAAACAACACACAATGGAAGAATCCGACGTCTCCATGGAGTACGACGGCGCCGACGTCGACGGCGTCGCCCAAGAGGATTATGAAGAGGACGGAGGCTTTGAAAACGACATCGAACTCGGCGATGATTTCCAAATGCGGGGCCGAGGACCTTCAGGGTTCAGGTATTCAAGCTTTAAACTGAAACGTTTTGTGACTGAGTGATTATAGGGGTCGCGGACGCGCTTGGCCGGGTCCTCCAGGTCCCCCCGGGCCTCGTGGAGAAGGACCTAGATTTCGAGGAAGAGGTTTCGGGCCCGGTGGGCCTCCACCGTTTCGCGGACGTGGCGGACCACCTCCTCCGATGTTTGGACGTGGGGGACCTCCTAGAAATCCGCCTCCGGGACCGGGATTTAATGGACCTCCAAATTTCAATGGGCCTAATTGGGGAGGACCGATGGGGCCTCCGGGGACTATGGGTGGACCGCCGAATTTGATGGGACCAAATGGACCGCCGTTTGGACCACCGGGGATGATGGGAGGCCCTCCTAGTATGAATAACGGACCGATGGTCACTCAGAGCGGGACAACGACCAATGGACAGTTTCCACCTGTGTCACAAAATCCCACAACAGTGAGTTTTATATTTTTATTATTTTTCCCTCAATAATTCTTTTTTTGCTAGGGGTTAGATGCAAATAGTGAAATTTGGGTAGAGACTAAAACTTCAGAAGGCAAGTCTTATTTTTATAATGCTCGTACTAGAGAAACTACTTGGACTAAGCCAGAAGGTCCTAATGTAAAAGTAATCTCTCAGGATCAAGTGGAAGCAATGGCACAAGCGGCCACTACAGGTTTAGCTCAAGGGACGTCAACTGCGGCCCAGGCGGCGCTAGCGCAGGCTAACGTTTCAAACAAACCTGAAGGTACCTTCTTATTCAATTTTTCGTTTTAAAAAACTAATCATGAATTCAGTTGATCCTGAGGATGCAATAGGAGAGCCCAAACAAACTGGAAATACAATGCAACAAAACATGTTGGCGGGTCCTCCACCAGGTATGCCTCCATTTGGGGGTCCCCCAGGTCAATTCGGAGCTCCTCCGTTTGGGTTGCCGCCGCCGGGATTCCAAGGGACATGGCCGGCTCCAGGTCAAGCAGCATGGGCAGGGGGTCCGCCAGGGGCGGCTCCGTGGGGTATGCCGCCAGGTCTTCTTACAGGTTTATCAGGTGCTATTCCGGCGATTGACGAAGCGGCAGTCTTGGCTAAAGTCGATCCGGATATCATCGCTAAAGCTTCCGAATGGAGTGAACACAAAGCACCCGACGGAAGGTTCTATTATTACAATGCGAAAAAAGGGGAATCGGTTTGGGAAAAACCACAAGCTCTCAAAGATTTGGAAAGTAGGTTTTTTCACAAAAAAAATATACAAAAGTAATGAATAATTTTTAGCTGCGAAATTGGCTGCAACTCAAGGGATATCCACAAGACCGGGAACTGAAGTTATAACTACTGTTGAAACAGGTAAGCCAAATACTGCAGTTGTCCAAGTGGCCAATGGGGATGCAGCGAAAGACAGTGCCATTAAGGATGACGATGATAAAATCAAAAAGCCTCAAGACGAGACGAAAAAGAAGAAAGAAGAAGAAGAGAAGAAAGAGGCGAAAAGTCAAGATAAATCACGTCCAGTTTCCAGTACTCCAGTACCAGGAACCCCATGGTAACTTTATAACCATTTCAATTTCAATTGTTATTAATTATTATGTTAGGTGTGTTGTGTGGACCGGCGACGGCCGAGTTTTCTTCTACAATCCATCATCAAGGACTTCCGTTTGGGAGCGTCCAGATGAACTATTAAAACGGACAGATGTAGACAAAATGGTGGCTACACCTCCCGATTCCATTGGATCTCAAAACAAACCAGACGCTGAGAGTCCGTCGAAAAAACGACCATCAGATGACAGTGACAGTGAGGAAGAAACCCCAGCTAAAAAGCCTAAAAAGGAAGAAACAACCAGTACCAATGGTACCACTCCACAATCGGCTCGCAAAATCGATATTGGTAAAGAAGCAGCCATTGAAGCGGAAGTACGTGCAGCTAAAGAACGTGCTATTGTCCCACTTGAAACTCGAATTAAATCATTTAAAGAAATGTTGGCCGAGAAAAACGTTTCCGCATTTAGTACCTGGGAAAAAGAACTCCACAAAATTGTTTTCGATTCACGGTATCTCCTTTTAACGTCAAAAGAACGAAAACAAGTGTTTGAAAAGTACGTCAAAGAAAGAGCGGAAGAAGAACGGAGAGAAAAACGGAATAAATTGAGAGAGAAGAAAGACGCGTTTAGGAAATTATTAAGTGAATCACATCTACATGGCAAGTAAGTAAAATTTTTGTCTAAGATTTTTTCCGGTATTAATTTTTTTGTTTCAGATCGTCGTTTAGTGACTTTGCACAGAAATATGCAAAGGACGAAAGGTTTAAAGGAGTGGAGAAAATGCGCGAACGGGAAAGTCTCTTCAATGAATATTTAATTGAAGTAAGAAAACGTGAAAAAGAAGAAAAGAATCAGCGACGAGAACAGGTGAGAATGATGTGTTTTTTATTCCAAAGACAAAAAAATAACGATGTAACAAGTAAAAAACAATTTCATCACTTGTTACATTTGATTTAAATTGTCGGCTTTCAGTAATAATTTTTTGATTGAATTTACTGCAAGCCTTTTTAGTAAGTGACGGTAATCTAATTTTAATTATTTGTGTTTATTATGTTGTTTGATACGAGCTTAATCACAACGCAAAATACTAAAATTATTTACAGGTTTTCAGCACTCGGTATGTAGATAATGTGTTAGATTAATTTTATTTATTTAAGGATTGTTGAAAATTGTGTTTTTGCCACAATTTTTATAACAGCGCTCATTAATATTGTAGTTTAAAAAAAAAACAAAAGTTCATTAAGTGTCCGATTTAAGTAATTTATTAATGATTCGTAGTTTGTAACAACTTATTGAACTGTTGTTAAACAAGTCTGACATTTGTAACCAACCACAAACCATTTTATTCATAATTGTGTATTCATTATTTATTTTTTTTTTTGGTTTGTTGTTGGTAAAATTGCTGTTTCACTGCCTATATATTACGACCAATCAAGAAACGCTAACAGTATTGTAAATGATGAGTCTCTTATCCAGCTTCATTACTTTTTCAAGAGATGTGGAGTACGGGTGAAACACGGTTACTTCCATTGCCCGAGGTTCGTGTGCGTCGTGTGAGAGAAGTCGACCCGAGATGTCAGCGCTCCTTGCCGGCAATGGGGCTAATTTTTATTTAACGGTACTTAACCTACAAGTTAGTTGTTACATTTTTAAGAACAAAAATCAAGTAATTAGTAAAGATTTTTCGTACAAATAAAACAGAAATCGCAAGAAACAATCATTTCTAATTTCAGTGACCTGTGGAGGACGGATTATCAAGATGTCCGATCAAACATTTTCCAATACCTTTATTACTTAACAAAAAAATGGAAAATGTTTGAGGAAACATAATGTTAATATTTCTTTTCAGCTCTAATATTTTTTTTTTTCAGAATTGAGAGACCAGTTAGCTATAATTTACTATAAAGTATTATAAACATAAATTTAAATAAAACAACTGCTGCTTTCCCAAACTTGATGATTCACGTGTTTGCAGGTAAAGAAAGATTTCTTTGCGATGCTTCGCGAACACTCAGATATCGACCGTCATTCCCATTGGGCCGATGTGAAACGTAAAGTTGACTCAGACGCCCGGTACAAAGCGGTTGATTCGTCTGGACAACGCGAAGATTGGTTCAGAGAATATTGCAAGATACTTAAAGAAGAGAAAAAGAAAGCGAAGGAAAAAGATCGTGAGCATAAACGTGATAAAGAGAAGCATAAGAAGAAGGATAAAGATAAGGATAAGGAACGTCATTCGAAAGACGATAAAGAGAAAGATAAAGAAAAGGATAAAGATAAATCAAAAAAAGAAGAAGACGAGGAAGCGTCAAATAAAGAAGTTGAAGAGACCGAACCGGAAGAAACTGACGATGAAAAAGCTCAAGAACAAAGAGATAAAGATAGACAAGCCAGGGCAGAGGCAAGCTTGAGAGAGAGGGAGAAGGAAGTACAAAGGACTTTAGCGACACATATGAGGGATAGAGATAAAGAAAGGGAGCAACACAAACGGGACGAGGCTATTCAAGTAAAAAAAATGTTTGTTTTTTTTTTTAATTTTTGAAATTTTTCTTACAGCATTTTAATGCTTTATTGGCCGATTTGGTGCGTAATCCGGAACTGAGTTGGCGCGAAGTCAAACGCATTTTACGAAAAGACCATCGTTGGGACTTGGCTGATTCGTTATCACGAGAAGATAAAGAAAAGTTGTTTAACGAACACATTGAACATTTGTTAAGAAAGAAAAGGGAGAAGTTCCGCGAGTTGTTAGATGAAACTCCGGATGTTACTTTAACAAGCAGTTGGAAAGAAATCAAAAAAATTATCAAGGAGGATCCCCGGTACACGAAATTTGCGTCAAGCGAACGGGTCAGTTGCATGTTTTTTTATCAATTAAAAATAATTTTTATTTTCAGTGTGAACGTGAGTTTAAGGATTATCTCAAAGATAAACTTATAACAGCAAAAGGACAATTCAAAGAGTTGCTACAAGAAACAAAACTTATCACACATAAATCGTTATCTAATCTCAGAGAGAATCAAGGATTTATGCAAGAAATCGAGGATATATTAAAGAATGATAAGAGATATCTTGTTTTGGATCATATTCCGCAAGAGAGGACTCAATTGATTTTGAATTACTTAGAAGAACTTGACAGAAGGGGACCACCTCCGCCACCCACAGCTAGCGAACCTAATAGGAGATCTATTAAATAGAGAATTTAATTTTATTGTATTTATTGTATTGCTGAAGTTGTGCATTTTATTGCATTAGTAGCTCCCGTTGTAGTAATTTTGAACTGAATGTGTTAAACCATTAATTAAATTTGATTTTATACTGTAATAGAAATAAAAATTGCGTATTTAAATGCTTGTTTTTTTCACCCACATTTAAAACAAGATTATATCTATAATTATAATAAAAAATATTTAGGAATCTTTAAGTATTATCGTACGTACAATGACCACTGATAAAATTTGCGACTTGTTTTTCAACTAACCAAATCACTTCCTAAAAAAAAAACAATCGAGTAATCCGTAAACGGATTAATTTCAAAACTATAACACGTAATCCGTAGACAAAGAAATGCGTCAAACTCGGCTATCTATGCAGAAAACAGTTAATTACTCATAGACTAGTTTATTTTCAAAAACCGCTAACCACTCTGAGCCTAGATAGTTATCTTTAAATTATAGTGGCAGGGGAAGTTCTATATATTCACCCACGATTAATTTTTTTTCTTAAACTTCAACAATGTTGCTCCCTACACTCTTACTTCTCCTCCAGGTTACACTGGGGGCTTTTTTCACTCTTCCGCAGTTACACCTCCGAGCGCCAGGTAGGTCCCCTTCAAAAAAACCCAACTCACCTAAAAATTCCAGACTGCAATATCCAAATACCGAATTTGGACCCTGAACCCATTGTTGTTGACGGCACTTACACGTTTCTATACGCCGCCCCGGATGCATCATCAGTTGTTATAAAATCAGGTGAAACAATTATTATTTCTTGTCCCGGAGGACAAATGACAGTCGGCTCAACTCAGTTCAATTCGACAATTTCGGCGACTTGTATCTCCAACAGTGACTTTTCGGTTGGCTCTGCAACAATAAACTTCAACCAAATCACTTGCTCGAGAAACCCATTTCACACTGCGAGATACACGGGGAAATCCTGCGAAAAAAGCGGCAAAGAAATTGAAGTTGGATTTGCCGTAAATGATAATTTTGCCCGCGAAATTACCATTTGTTTCGATGCTCCCAACTTGAATTCTTTGTACTCTTCGTACGAAATACCGCGGTCTATTGGCCACCACGAATCTGGTGTGAGTCGCCCGAGCTTCATAGAAGATGATTTCTACAACCTCGAAGTGAAAGTCAACAGTTTGTACGTACGAGGGGGGCAAAGATCGACGATTAATAGCTTGTTGGGGCTCCCAAGTAACTCCACTAAATACATCCAAGACGGAAACGATTTTTATCTCGCCCGGGGACACTTTGCAGCTAAAGCAGACTTCGTCTACGCTTCTCAACAAACTGCGACTTTTCACTACGTAAATGTTGCCCCTCAATGGCAAAGCTTCAACGGTTTCAATTGGAATCAAGCCGAAAGTGATGTCAGAGATTACGCCGAAAAAAATGGGGTTGATTTAAGGGTGTACACGGGGACTTACGGAGTCACAACTTTGCCACATGAGGAAACGAAGGAGGAAATCCCGCTTTATTTGTATATTGGGAGTAATGGGATTCAAGGGATTGCCGTCCCGGAACTCTACTGGAAAGTGGCCTACAATCCCGAAACGAAACTGGGAGTTGCCTTGCTTGGGATTAATAATCCCTACCAAAAAGATATAAACAGGAGTATTATTTGTGAAGATGTTTCATCGAAAATTAATTGGCTACACTGGAACGCAACTGATACAAAAGCCGGATATTCGTATGCTTGTGAAGTTGACTCTCTGAGGAAAAAAGTTACCTATTTACCTGATTTTGTGGTTAAAGGACTTCTATTGTAATTGATAAAACGATAAAATGCGAAAAAATAATGATAAGAAAGTACTAACATTTCTTTGTTTTTCCGATTTCATAATCTAACAAGTGTTTCATTTCCTTAATCAAGGTTATTATTAGATTTGTAAGTGATAAGTAAATACTCAGAAAAAAATATTTTATCAAAATCTGATCAACATATAAAACAGTAACAGTATATAAATACAAAATCTTAATTATAACAATAGTTTATTCCAAAGGCGAAACCCTGTATCCATCAACAGTTTTGCTAATAACGACTCCTACTCTTGGACTAGACGGATCGTCCGAATCGTCTCCACAAACATCAAGGAAGGCTGCAAATTATTTTCTAAGAAATTTATTAAAAAAAAATTGTGTTTTAATTTACTTAAATCATTTTGCTCCATCGGAATCGTGTTTTCATAAATGACATTTCTAACACTCGGATCCTGTTGTTTGACGTCGTATTTTAAATTGATGTGGATATTTTTCAAAAATAAATCGTCTATACGAGTATGAACTTCCTTCCGATAGCAATTAGACACCTCCAGAAGAATAATCGCTTTATCTAATTTATTTTCCGACATTGTTAATGCGGCTCGAGCTTGGTATTTCTTCAAACCCGGGAATCGCGTCATTAGGGATGCTATGTTTCGGTTTTTTTGAGCCTCCCGTTCCGTTTTTGCTACCGGATTGACTTTCTGGAATAAAAAAATGCATTGTTGGGAAGTGCGGAAGTCAAAGAAATGGTCATAAAAGAGCTGTTGTTATAAAAAAGTTGTCTGAAAGATAATCTTCCGTCTTTTTAAGAGTAAATGTGAAGATTTTCGGAGAAATACCTATCAGTTTATTTACATTATGTTCGCCGACAAATCTGGAAACGCAAACAAAACTCTCGAAATAAAAAAATTCAAGGAAATAGGTATCATAAATATTTTATAAACAACAAAAACCGTATTGAGTTTTTGTCAAAGGCTTTATGTCTTATTTTCTATGAAGATACAAAGTTAATGTGCAATGATATACAACGTCTCTCAGAAATAAGTACATTAATTTTAACCAGTGATAGATCTAAAGAACAACAGATTGTTATGTAAAATAACGTGCCGTTCAGTTCACTTGAAAACAGTGAACATGAATTTTTTTGAAGTTTTTTGCGAGTTTTGACCAGGGTAGAGAAATAAGCGTGTTCTCAGCTTATAAGTGATAATAATTATTGCAATTTGATTTTGTTTACATTTGGTTATTTTGTCTCAAAATTACCGTACTATACTATACTCGTATACGTGGACATTGTGCTAGCATTTGGAAACTGCATTTTTCGAAGCACTGTTGTTAAATACTGTGCTGCGTCTCAGGTTAAATCAAAATAAACAATTTGGTGAATTATTTGTCTGATTTTGTTAAAATAATTCTTCGAGCATAAACTTAATAAAATATACTTAAACTTTTTTTATTGTTGAAATAATAAATATGTATTAATGAACTTGATGAGCTTGGTATTTAATGGCTGTTTGTCCTAAGAATCTTAATAACTACTGCGCTTTCGAAAAAATAACGTAAAGATAAAGAAATGTTGTATTTGATAAGTTCTGGAATGTACTTATTTCTGAGACACGTTGTATAAAGGAAGATTTTTATTTAAGTCGTATTGCACTTTATTGTTAAAAATTACATTACGGGGGCATGTTTCGACCTACCTAAGTCAACATCAAGACATTACAAACAAGTTACTAAATTACATAATAAACAAATTATTAAATTGAAAAAAAGGGAGTAATAAAGGTGTCCTGAAGGGACTACCCTCAAATAAAAAAGTATTATTAAATTTCACTTAAATAAAATCATCAAAAATAAATCGAAAATAATTCTTAACGTTTCAATTCGTCCTTCATTTAAAAAAACGCTTTTTGGTTCGTTCAATAGCGCGGCAAATTCAAATCTTATCCTCTAGAACACGGTTAAACACTAACTTTTAGTAAAAGAAAAACCGCTTTGTTCCACTATCTATGTAATTTTCTGGAAAATAATGCAAAATTAGACTTACCCTAACATATTTTCGCTTTGGTCTGATGGCACATGGTAGGTTATTAGCGGGGTTTTCGTAGTTTTTCTCCTGGATTTTCCACGGCGCTGCCATAACTGGATTGAAAATAAGTTTTTTGGGGACGTTATTTTCACTCATTGTTAGAGTTTCACACTTAACGAAACGAAATTTGTCGAAGTTAACCTCTGAGAGGGTTTGTAATTTAACTAAACAAAACAGAACTACACCATTAATGTAGCGGGAATTGCAATGTTGCCTCTATCCTACTGGAGCCTATAGAGCAGGGAAGGGATAGGAAGTAGGGATGGAAAATTTAAATTTTGAAATAAAACCAGGTTTTGCATTTATCACATTTTAATAAATAATGTTAACAACAATTCATAAAATTTCAGAAAAACAGCTACTGTTGAACAAGCGTTTCGTTTTCGGTTGGATTTTTTTTTATTGTTGACAAATCTTCAGCTTTTTCGGCGAACGAATTCAGAACATTGGGGTTTGGCGTTATTTCTAAAATATACAGGGAAGTTTGAAAAATATATTCTTAGAAGTAAGTAATCACTTATTACCATCAGTTTTCTTTTCAGTGGTCGCTTGCCTTTTATTAATCTGATTTATCCTAATATTAGAAAAACTCCTTCGATTTTGCTGCGTCTTTTGAATCAAATTTTTCTTGTAGCACAAAAGCTTGCACCGTTTGGCATACAACATTTTATCAACAGCACAAAAGAAATCATTTTTGCATAAAACTAAAACTGTGTGAAGAGTGGCTGGATGTGTATCGGGGAAAAGTTGCATCAAACGAAGAAAATAGAAGAATTGACTTGATGATTGTTGAATTGAGGGTAATTGTTTGTCTTGAGATCGTGGCATACCTAGAGGCATCTGTTTATTTATCTGGGGAGAAGTTTGTTAGACGAAATTAGCGAAAAGTTGATTTTACCCAGGGATTATTTAAAAAACGGTTGGGTAAGGTGGGATCACTGGTTTGGTTCGAAGATCTATTTTTATTCAAAAGTGATGAGTGATAAGGTTGAGAAGTTATCCAAGGGCACAAAATTGGTTGCATTCGGAAAATTCGGTTGTTTTTTTGGTCGTCCATCTCTTTGGTACAACTAGAAGATTGAGCTATAAAGCGATAAAACTAAATAAAACCTTCAACAATTTTCACTGATTGTGAGATAAACAATATTTTGTTTTTTCTGTGTTGTTTATATTGTTGACTTTTGTAGTTTTTGACAGTTTAAAAGCAAAGAAAACTACGATTATTTATAACAATTAATCGACCTGGTTAAAACTTTTTAGTCCAAATTTAAAAAATACCATTACAAAATAGGTACTAATTTATCAGGCACTTCCTGCAGGGAATTTATAATTTTATTTTTAAGTAGTTTTTTAAATTTGTAATTTTTTGTAAGTAATTTTTTAAATCTGTTTTAGTGATGTTGTATAATAAAACAGATTTAAAATGATAATCGGATTAGGTACTAGGCCGGAAAAGAAGGATAGATAAATTTACATAACTATTACAACCAGATTACAACCGGCGTTCATTCATACATTCCAACTCAGGTCAAAATTGCAGACTTGGGAAATACCAAGACACAGCAGGAATATTCTTAAAAGGGCGGCTTGTTGTTTGTAGTAATTCATCAATGACAAATTACCTACTACAACAAGATGAAGAAAAAAATATGAACAATTCATAACAAGCAACGATTTTTGATAAAGGTTTTAATAAAAAAATCGGGTAGTTAAAGATCAACTCTTTCAGCGGATCCCAATTTTGGATTGAGCTCAGATATTATTTAGAGGTTTAAAAAATTTCTTAATTTTAACTAATAAATAAATATTGGTGAATAAGAATTTTTACAACTTTTACACTCTTTAAATAAAAGTTCTAACATAATTCATTACATTGATAGTGTATTAATAGTGCATTATGTTATTAGGAGTAAAAGTGATAGTTTATGTGGCGAAGCTGAACGTTTATATTTCATGCAAATATACAGGGTGCGCCAGAACAGAAAAATGCCATATAAGGTAAGATACCAGGAACATGGAAAAAATGTTAAAAAAAATTTATCTATAAAAATTATGAGGGTTTAAAGTTTGCACTTTGACTCTATTTCTGTTGGAAAAACAATTTTCCAAGTTTTTTTGCTATAGGCTTTTAAAAGAGGAAACAAGGAAGCTGTATCCTAAACTGTAATTCTGTTTAATGTTATTTGTGACGTTTATTGTCAAAATTTTTGTCTCTTTACTAAATAAATGTAAAAAAACATATACAAGATCATCAGTATCATTAAATAGATATAAAAAAGGTCAAATGTCAAAAAATAAATGTCAAATTTGTTTAACTTATTTATTATTTTTTAAATAATCAGGGCGCTTTACAACTAATGAAATTATAACAAACATTACGTGTGAGTGTCGGAATTTGGTTGAGATTTTAGAAAGTGTTTATTAATTTAGCTTGTGGATAACTAGTGCAGTTAGTAGTGCAAAATATCTAATGCTTATGATTTGCAATGTATGTATCGGTGGACATAAAAAACTGGGACAAAACTTGACAATTATGTATACAAGGTGATACACGAGGAATAATGAGCCTGACCAAATTCTCGATGCAACTGCAAATGCAAATTTGCTCACGCTCATTATTCCTCGAGAATCACCATGTAAAAGTCAAAAAAACAGAAGTTACATTGGGTAAATTTGGCTTTTTACATATAAGGTTATAAAAGTTATGGCATATTGTCAGAAACATGAAGTTAAAGTTTAATTTTTTAAGGCTGATTACATTTACAAGAGTATTATAAATAACACGTAAAATTGATTTAGCATCTCTTTAGATTCAAAGAGCTTCAACGGTCATCTTTAAATTGCTGACAATTTTGATTTTGGATGAGAATTCAAAAGTTTAATACACAATGAGTAAATTTTGGATGTCCCAGTTTTGTATTTCCAGTAATGGTACCTCTCTAGAAATTGCTGAAACAGCGAAAGAGGCAAATAAGAAACAACATTGGTAAATGTCACTAGTGTCATAGTAAAAATAAAAACACTTATTAGGTAAGCAACAAAAGCAGATTTTTTTCTCTATGCCTGAACTACGAAGAACTACATACTAGGAGACGAAGCGAGATACAAAATTGCCTGATTTTTTGGACCCAAAAAAAGTAGTACGGCGGAGTAAAAATGAGGGCGCTTAGAGCGTTTTACAGTCTCAGTTTCAAATCGTTTTTAATTAATTTAAATTCAACCAGTTTACTAATTGCTTGGGAGAAAATGCAAAAATGTTGAGCTTTATATTCTCAAGAAGCTGTAAAAAACGAACCACTAAATTTTTCACGAGGAATATGAGAAAAAAAATATTTAAAATTCAAAATCTGTGCTCCGTTTCATGTTTTTCAAAATGCTACGAATACGGTTAAAGATACAAGAAAAATGTAAGAAAGAAAGTTGTAGAAAATAAAATTTTCTAGTAAAAAGTCCGCACACCATACCTCTATCTTTAATAGTTTTTAGGCCTCAAAGACGTTCAAAGAAGCTCAAGCGACGGATTCGTTTCATTTTTACTGGTGATTGCGTGCCGGGGGGACACTTTAAAGCAATTTAAACCTAAACCGTTGAATATAGAAATATGGTGTCGCGGACTTTTTTGTGGAAAATTTTATTTTCTACAATTTTGTTTTTTACACTTTTTTGTATCTTTAACCATATTCGCAGCGTTCTTAAAAATATTGGGCGTAACGCTAACTGATAATTGTTTATAATTTATTTTTAATACTGTTTTCGATATTTTTGAAAACGCTGCGAATACGGTTGAAGATACAAAAAAGTGTAGGAAACAAAATTGTAGAAAATTAAATTTCCTACAAAAAAGTCGCGATCATATCTCTATGTTCAACTGTTTAGGTTTAAATTAATTTTCTGTCTCTTGATCACCGGTAAAAATGAGACGTATTCGTCGCTTGAGCGTCTTTGAACGTCTTTAGGACCTAAGCCATTGAAGATAGAGGTATTATCTCGAGGGCCGTTTTCTTGGAAATTTCATTCTCTACAACTTTCTTTTTTATATTTTTCTTGTATCTTTAACCTATTCGTAGCATTTTCAAAAATATGAGACGGGGCGCAAATTGCTAAATGTTTGAAATTTTTTTAAATATAGTTTTCAATAAAATTTTTGCATTACCTTTGTCTCTTGTTATGGAGAATTTAATGTTCTATCTGCCTTAATTTTTTTTTATTTGAGTTTTGCTCACCGTTATGTAAATACAGCCATTTTTTTAATTAAAACTTGAACGGGAAAAGAACAACTGCGCTATCTGGCCTCGCTAACGGAACTATCGAGAACGGGGACGGTTTGTTTTACATCGTGTCGTATCCCTAGTCTTTAGGTATCCGTAGGTAAAACTTTTACTTGTGAGATTTACTAATAAAAGTGGTCACTTTTGTGATATTTGCGGATGAATGCCTGTTTTTTGAAATTGAGAAAAAATTGTCAACACTGAGAATTCTCTAAAATTCATAATTGCAAAGTGTTTTCCTTGTCTCAAAAAGGAACACTACAATTCCAATAATTTCGTTTTATAAAAATAAAAATGATTTTCCTTCACAATTTTAACAAGTAAACTATCTAAAATACTAAATATTTCTTCTTGGTGAAAAAAAGATTATTTGGTCCGCAATCACATGGGCAGGGCCGGATTGCGACGATGGTCAAATTATTAATCGTTGGCCAGAAAAAAAGTTGGAGACACTAGATTACGGCGGTAGAACACAGGACCTCACATGTAATAGATATTTCGAATTTTTTTGCATCCCTCTTCCCTTGCAATTTGATTTATGGAGTCCTCTTTTGTTTTTGTGCAATCTTTTGAAAATGTACTTGATTCGAAAATTGCTTTTTATAAATTGAGTAATCTTATGTAATATTGTGCTCTTTTCAAGGATGCTGCATTGAAAATAAGTTAAAATTAAAGTAAAACAAATTATCCAGACTATCATGAAGGTAACATCAACATTCGCAATATTTCCGATGTAAAAATACCCGAGTAAACTACATTAGAAGCGCGTTTTCCACATGTCGAGTGTTGGCATCTGACGGCTTTGTCTTGTTCAAAAACTCATGTCAATCGTTTGGTGTGTGTGTCTTTTTAATTGCTGATTTATATGTCAGATGGTATAGTATTTATACATTGTATTGTCTCAACAACTGGCACTAACCGTCGACCGAGTCCAAGGCTCGCATGCTTGAGCTGCAAATAGCAGATATCTAAACGTGAAGTGCCAAAGACGAACGCGTCCACGCATTAGACTTGTATCTCGCTGAAGTAAATGACTTTTATCAAGTTATGAGTTTCGTGAAGAAGATCTTCACTAAAATGAGTGGACATGAAGATAAAGAGAATGAAGTGGAAGAAGATGATGATGTTAGTGAAGAAACATCGACAGAATCTTCGGATACGGGGATTTTCACCGGATTAAACAGCGACTTGGAAAGCTCAGGACATAGTATTGATACAGACTGCTCCCAAATTTCGAATTTTTTCGGATATTGGTGAGTAGAGTGATGAGAATTTTCTCCAATCTTGTTCTTGTTATATTTTTGTCGATGATTATTTTTCTTAGAAGTCTTTTAATAGCCTCAATTTGTAATACGATTTTCATAATTACATTTCGTGTGACGTAAACACCCACATATTTTTTGGTCTGTAAAAATTTTGACGCGATTTTGTCGCGATTTTGTAGATTTTTGACTCCCACATCATTTGATCAAATATTAACGAAAACAATAAACTCATCATACATGTAGTTGTAAAATTTTGAAGAAAAACTACAAATTGCGAAAAAAATGACAAAGAAAATGCTTTGGTAGGTGATGAAAATCTATTTCTGGCTTGGGTCAACGACAGCAACTGCATTTTATATGCACTATTTTTGTTCATCATTAAAACTTATTTAAAGTCCATTATCTACGCTATTTTTCAACAATAAGGAAAAAATTCAAAATTTGGCTTATATTGGCGTCAGTTGTGTTTACGAATTTATTTATGCTTGTATGTAGTCAAAATAACAACTTCCTTTTGGTTTCAAAAGATTAAGTTCCTTATTATTTGATGCCAAAACTCAAATCAAACCCTCAAAAAGATCAACTTTGCACGCGTTGAGTAAATTTAGATTTGTTTTTATAAACATTCAAATTAACAACTCATCCTGCGTCGAAATAATTTCAATTTTATTTACCGAATTGGAGAGATTGTTGATCCGGAATCAAAACTTTAAAGTAACAAACTGGATTTACCGCTATGCTAGCAACAAAATAAATGAGATACAAATTCACTTAAAATTATCTTTTGGCTACAAATATGTTTGGGTTGGACTCCCAGTCAACTACAAAATACTCATTGTAAAAAATGTGATGAGTTATTGATAATCCACCTCTTCGCAATTAGTTATTCATTCGACGAGTTTGAGAGTAAATCGGAAGCTTTATTTCACGAGAGGATTATTAAACCACGAGCGTTAACGAGTGGTTTCTCATCTACGACGTGGAATAAATGAACCGATTTACACGAAGACGAGTTGAATACAACATTTTATTCTTCGAATTGCTTTAAATCTGTTAAAAATAATCGAACGTTTCGTATTGAAAAATGCCAAACAGTTGTCAAAACATCCTTACATGGGAGAAAAACCGTAAATTTTGACAGTGTCGAAAAATAAAATTTATTTCATGTAAAAATAGAGTGTGTAACCTTAACACCGTGTTCTAAAAAAAATTATTAAAAGGAACAATAACACGACCGCATGGCTCGCAAGAAACTCATGTTTTTCATGTCACTGACGTCTATTGGTTTTAAATATAACTAACTTGGATGAGTTTTTCAAATACCTAGAAAATAAAAGAGCTTATTTAAACTTTTCTATTCTTTTTTTGAAAGATTTATGAGCTTTGTGCTATTTTAATTGGGTGGTCACGCAATGTTTGCTTGGTTTAGAAAAGCGCCAGAAGTCTAACATTTCGAAATACAGAGGTCCTCAGTTGCTCTAATTTACAGAATGTTTCACCTAAGACTTCTATTGTTAATATTTTATACCAAGCAAACCAAACAAAAAAACATAATCTTCTATTATTTTAAAATAAACATTTTTAAAGTATAAACTACTACAGAAAATATTCCTGGTTTCAAAAAATATTCAGTTTCAATTAAATTTAATTTTATTTGAAATTTATTTATTTATTTATTTATTTTAATTTATTTGAAATAATATTTAGCTTAAAAAAAAGACAACAAACAGAAATTGTTTTTTTGTATTAATTAAATTATTTAGAATCCGTTGGCAAATAATAGAGATATTAGATCTCAAAGTCTTAGGTGAGACACTCTACATATGTAACCCCTCAAGAAACTAAAAATTTTTACCTCCCCATAGAAACAGAAAAACATGCTGCCAGATTTAATGACGAACCTGAGATATCAGCAAAAATTGTTATTTTTGAAGTTTTTTTTGCTGGATTGTAGGAAAAATTATATGTATTACAATAGAGGAGTGCCTTTTCCTCCATGGTCGACAAGTCTCGGACACTCCACCTGCGGGAGGAAAAGATACACTTTTCTCCCTTGTAATGCAAATAAATATTTTCCAAGTATGGCGATGTTTCAACTATGCTATTAATAGCCTTACTTTGTATCTATAAATAAGCCTTATTTTTTTAATTGTTATTTGCGTTTTTGACATTGATATTCTTATTAGCAGCAGGTGGTTTTAACATAAATTTAAAAGATGCACATGGTTAAAGTTTCAACTATTGCAGAATCCTAGAATTGTTGTTGCCTCACTGTTATCTGAATTGCAAGGCCGTTTATTCTATTTTGATCATCTCGCCACCACATATTATTTTAATTTCTTGTCAGAGTTTAAATTGACTCTATTTCCAGCCTCCCCTCTCCAAACGAGTACCACTGGATTTTCCAAATATTCTTATTGCTTTTGAAATCTGCTTTGGATCCATCCCAACTAAGCCTCGCCAGTCGTTGTCCACTTTCAGATCCATCATCCTCTCCAGATAAAATTCATAAATTACAATTCGAAAACCTAAAAAAATCCAGTCAAGTTGTCTAAATTTAAACTCAAGTGAGCGTAACAAAACTTTCAGTTGTGTTTTACGAATCGTCAACGAACGACTATGTTCTAAGACCTTAGAAAATGTTCAGTTTCTTCCGCCGATCCAAGAAAGAATCCGATCGAAAGTACAAAGACGCAGACGCATCTCCTACATTAGATATGTGTAAAAATAATAAAGTCGAGGATATCGTCGTGCCCACGACGTCGGAAATCGGGTTACGTGAAATTCCAACGAATGCAGTGATTAGTGACGAAAAAAACGACTCGAACGAAACCATGTGCGAAAACACTGCTCCCATTTCTTACGCTCATGTTGTGAAAAAACCAGAAAGGGAATGGCGAGGAGTGTGTGTGAAGCCTTGTGGTCACGGGACCACAGCTATAAGCCCAAGTGTGCCCATTTTGGTCGGCAAAAGGGACACCAACACTCCCCCATCAAGCCCAAAACTCGACCTGAAGAAAACCACCAAAGTGGAACAGCAAAACTCCAGTGATAAAAGCCCAACGGAAAGTTCAGCAAATAGTCCTTTAGTGAATGGAAACGATAGTGAGAAGTATGTTTGCGTAATTGTGTAACTCTAAGAGGATCATAAGTGGGCTATTTTTGGGCTATTTGACGCGAAAACTGATTCAACGCGCCCACTTGCGACTCTAAATTTAAAATAAATGGAGATAATGAAGTCTTGCATCCGCGATGCAAGCCTATTGATGGATTTTCTTACGTCAGAAGAAGGAAAAGCTTGTTTACTTTGATTATTTTTAGAAAAACAGGGAAAAAATGATTTTATTTACAACTTGTGATCAACACGCAATGATTCCAGTCAACACCTTATAAACTATTTTTAGTTTTGCCATTGAATCAAAATTTTCAAAACAGAAATGACGCACTTTTTTTAATTTAATAAACTAAAAAATTAATTCTGTTTGCTGCTTTTACTTAAGTAAACGCTATAAAACTTTTATTTATTTAATAAGTAACTCATTTCAGGAAAAATCTAATAAACCAAGAAGCTAAATTTCAAAGTCAACTCAACGATTTATCCAAACAACTGTCGATCCGAGATGCAGAAGCAACTAAACTCCGTTTCCAGATGGAAGAACTCCAGAGAGATGTTTTTGCCAAATCTGCCGGAATGGATCGTAAGTTACCTTTTTCTTCTTTACGCAGAACAGCTTTTTTCCCGCCCCTCTTGCAACTAAAATGGCACAGTATAACACAAACTAAAATTAAATGTTCAAAATGTTGTAACTTTTGTTATTTCAGGATTGGAAACCGAATTGCAAGCTGCCCACAAGGAATGTGAGCTTTTGCGTCAAAGAATCCGTTATCTCGAAACTGATCTTGATAGTTACAAAAAAAGAAACAATGAATTGGTGACTGAATTGACTGAAAAATCTGGTACTAATCCAAAAATGCATAATCCGATTTTAATTCCATTTATTTCAGAACATATTACAAAATATGAGAATGAGACTAAAGCAAAAATCGAGGAACTTGAAGTTACAATTAAGGAACTCGAAGTAAAAATCACCACTTTAGAAAATGAATTAGAAACATTGAAAAAGGAAAAACAGCAGTTAGAAGAGCAACGAACAGTTATTCTTGCTGAACGGGACGCCGAGAAACAAAAAGTTGAAGACATCCTCGAACAAGCAACAGTCCAAAAACAAGAAATTGAGAAGAAATGGAAGCAAGACTTTGAGAAGTTACGCACAATCAACATCATGAAAGAACAACAACTCCTCGACGATTTCGAATGGAAACTTCGTGAAGTTCAACAAACTTGTAAAAAACGTCTTGATGATAAAGATAAAAGTATAGAAGAACGAGTCCAACAGGCATACAAGGAAGCAGAACGTAAAATGCAGGAAGCTGAAAAAATGATGCAACAAGTTGAAGCAATGAAATCGTATGAAATTGAAATTGAGAAACTGAGAGGACTAACGGAGGACCAAGAAAATGCGATTAAGGAAATGATGGAGCAACAGGAACAAATGAAACAAGCAGAAAATAATTTGAAAAATGAGACGAAAAGACTTAGGAATTTGATTGAGTTAGAGAAGGAGAATATTCAACACATCCAGTTGAAACATCATCAAGAGATTTTAGATAAAGAGAGGGTTTTGCAGCAAACTTTGCACCAAAAGCGTACTGAAATTGCCATGTACTGGGAGGAGAGACTTTTAAGAGAATGTGGCAGATTAAAATCTGAACTAGAACAAATCCACAATGAGGAAAAACATTACGCAATGGAGACCATCAGAAAGGATAAAGATGAAGAGTTTCAAAAAGCACAAGCAGAGTGGGATAAGAAATTAAAAGAGTGTCTGAAAGAGGTTTGAAAGCAATGTTCTAGAAATTTTAATTTGAAAATAAAGTCAATTTGCAGATTTCTAACTTAAAACGAGCTCTAGTCCAAAAAGACGAGTTTTACAGACAAGAGATGATTCGAACTCAGACAAACACGGATCGTGATATTATGGAATTGAGACGTTTGATGGACAAAATCGACATGAGTCATCACGACCGTTTCGAAAAACTGGTCCAAGAGCATGAAGTCGAGTTAGGTAAAAAAAAAAAATTACATAACCGCGCTCCACATGTTTTCCCTATAATTTACTTAGTTGTTTTCATTTGCTTTTTCAACTCGGTCCAAAAATATCAGTTTGGACGAGACTTTTACATGATCAACACGACTTTTTCAGAACGTGTGAGTGAAGAAACTGAACAAAAAATCAAAGAAATTGAAGACTGTTGGCAGAATAAAGTCACTGCACTTAGTAACACTTTGGAGTTGGTTAAGGAGCAGATGGAGAAGGAGTCGCAACAGAAAATTGAGTCGTTAATCGAGCAACATCGATCCGAATTAGGTATTTGCTTGTATGTTCGTTTTTTTTTATTAATCATTTTTTAAAGACTCTCAGTGGGAGAATCTAATTAGTCAAAAAAGCGAGGCTGTGAAATTAGTTGAAGATGAATACGTGATGAAATACAAGACTTTGGAAGAACAATTTACAACACAACAGAAATCTCACGAAGCGAGAGAAGTTGAATTACTTAAGGCTATTGATAGTTTGAAAAACGAATTAGGAAGTAAAGAATCAGCTCTAGATGATTTACAAAGTAATGTAGATACGTTAGAAGGTGGTATTCAAGTATTAAATAATGAAATAGCACAACAAAACGATCAAATCATTAAAACGAAGAAAGAATCGGATCAAAAAATAAGGTAATGACATCCTTTGTGCTAGAAATAGATCGGCTACTTGGCCAGTTTTTGTGACTCATCGGGCATGATTGATGTCTCATTTTGTAACTAATAAAATTTATTTTCCCTCCTATAGATGTACTAAAGACATGTCGACGGACAAGTCCTTTCTAGTGCTTCTATTCCCTCTTCTTTCGTGGCTTTTATCCAATTCTGTTATCCAAACCTTAGCTTTCATCATACTCTCATTGTTTTGTCTTTTACATTAGTAACGCGTTTTTTCTGCATGCATTTTATCCTTTTGTGTTCCTAATTCTTCTCCTTTCCTGTGAATTCAGAGGTCTTCAAGAAACCATCTCCAAACTTCACGAACAACAAGAGAAAGAACGCGAAGCATACAGACTCAAATTTATGGCAAACCAAAAGCAAGCACAAGAAACTATTGACCATTTACAAAGAAAATGCCAATGTCTCACGAAATTGTAAGTCTTTTTACTCAAATATGCGTTTTTCTAACGCTTATTGCAGGTTCGAGGAAGTTAGACTTCGTTACGAAAGACGGGAATCTCGCCAAGAAGATTTGAACATAATCTCTGATTTACGACAAGTTATCGCTGAACAGGAGAAGGATTTAGCTTGTCTAAACGAAGAAAAACGGTATTTTCAAATGCGTTTAATCAGCTTGGAAAAACAATTAGAAGAGAATGGATCGGGCGATGAAGACGCATTTCAAGATGCTGAACAATCCAAAAATGAACCCCCGAGTTACCCACCCCCGGCTTACCCCAGTTTTCCACCACCGCCACCGTTTTCTATACCGCCAACAATACCAGAATGTGATGAATGATTTCGTACGTTGCTAATTTTTAATTATTTGTATCATAACTCATTGTATATAAAACGCAAAAAGAAATAAAAAAAATGTCAACTGAAACAGTTTTTCTTCACTCGTCACTTCTTTTGAACGGATAATAGGTATGTTCAGAAGCTCTAAAAATGCGTAACAGAAAAATATTATAGAAACACAAAAGCTCTTACTCTTTATAGGGACAAAACCGGACATTACAGTCAAGTGTGTTAATCGCCTTAATTTCCTCGTTTGATAATTCAAAATCAAAGATGTTGAAATTTTCCTGAAGTCGCGTCTTATTGATCGATTTAGGAATCACCACATGTCCTCTTTGAATATGATATCTTAGTAAAATCTGAGCTACAGTTTTGTTATATTTGACGGCAATTTTGTGCATTTTTGGCTCATTCAAAAGTACTTTATCTCCAGGTTTAGCCCAGGGTCTGTCTCTGGAACCCAATGGACTATACGCCATTAAAATTATACCTTTAGATTGTAAAAATTCCGACATTCGTATTTGAGTCAAGTAGGGGTGACATTCAATCTAAAAATCAATGGTAAAAAACCGGCTAAAGTGTGAAAATTGCACACTTGGACTATGACCGGAAAAATTTTTGCGTATTTGATAACACGTTCAACCTGTTTTCTGTTAAAATTGGAAAGACCGATTGATTTCACTTTTCCTTTTTTACACAAATGTTCCATGGCTTTCCAAGTGTCGACATAGTCGACATTGCTGAATATTAATTTGGCGTCTTTGTTGATTGGATATTCACTTCCATCTTCCTATTCTTGTCATTAAACAATTTATTAAAGTGATAATAACAAACCTTTAAACCCATGGGCCAGTGTATGAGGTACAAATCGATGTAATTAAGTCCCATGTTAGCCAAAGACTTGTCAAGGGCCGGTTCTACCAAATCCGGGCGATGATAAGTCGACCATAATTTATTCACAATGTAAATACTGTCACGCTGAATCACTCCTTCTTTAATTTTTTCCCGAATTGCCTCACCAATTTCTTTCTCGTTTTTGTAAATGTAAGCACAATCGAAAAGTCGGTAGCCGATATCAATGGCGTCTTTTATGGCCTGACCTACATCTTTAGGTTTTGACTAAACCAAAATCAGTGGTTTTAGATGAAACAAAGAGTTTTACCTTCCAAGTCCCTAAACCAAGCGCCGGCAAAGTTTCACCATTTTTGAGTTTGATCGTTGGAACTTGAAGAGACATACCTTCGATCATTACGATTTTTTTGTATAATTAACGATAATTTTGACATTGAAAAAATCAAAATGACAATAATTTTGACAATTTTTGGGGTGATCGAAAAGACAAACTCATTCTATAAACACATTTTATTACACAATTTATTAATTAAAATTCATCGTTGGCAAAAGGATGGTCTTTGTGTGTGACAGCACTGAAAAAACCCATAAATAACTAAAAGAGGAATTATGAAAACTTACTCCACATAAGGACAAATTCGTCCATTGCAGTCAAACGTGTTGATCATTTCGATATCATCAGTTGCGAGTTCGAAATCCCAAATATCGAAATTTTCCTTAATCCTTGATTTAGTCACGGATTTGGGAATTACAATATGTCCTCTTTGAATTTGGTACTTTAAGACGACTTGCGCTGGAGTTTTCTTATATTTTTCGGCAATTTTCTTAATTTTCTCATCTTCAAGTAAGAGGGGATCTTCGGGTTTAGCCCATGGCCGATCGGGGGATCCCAAGGGACTGTACGCTGTGATCGTGATTCCTTTAGATTTACAAAAATTGGAGAGTTTTATTTGGGTCAAATAGGGGTGACATTCGACTTGATTAGTCGCTGGAACAATCGTGGCGTTCTGCAAAAGTCGCTCAATTTGTCTCTTGTTGAAATTTGAGATTCCGATTAATCTTGTTAGGCCCTTTTTATTCACTTCTTCCATCGCTTTCCACGTATCGACATAATCAACCTCGCTATAAATCGCCTTTCCTGACCCATCTACTGGAAACAATTCATCGCCCTCTTTCAAGGCAAAAGGCCAGTGGATCAAATAAAGGTCAAGGTATTCTAACCCTAAATTGTAAAGTGTTGTTTTGAGAGCCTTTTCGACCAAATCCGGTCGGTGGTAAGTGTTCCATAGTTTGCTGGTGATGAAAATATCTTCACGTTTTATCACACCTTCGGTGATTTTAGCTTTGATCGCTTCACCAACTTCTTTTTCATTGCAATAAACGTGAGCACAATCGATGTGACGGTACCCGATGTCAATTGCGTCTTTCACCGCTTGAGTTACTTCCCCAGGTTTGGACTATAAATAGAAATGACCTTCAAACGTATTCCCACAGTTATGCTAAATGAAACTAATTGAATCTAAATTATTGATGCTCCTTTTTTGAATCAAAGCGGAAAATAACTAATGCATTACGTAACAAGGGATCGATCAAACAATTTTCTGCTCAATTTTACTCAAACAAAACAGCATTTTGCATACATCAAACTCTTTACCTTCCACGTTCCTAAACCCAACATGGGGATGATTATCCCACCATTGGTTTTAATGTTTTGGACTTTGCTTGCCATTTTTGACACTTTTTATGATTAAATTTGTTAATTATCGATTATTTCCTTGTTTATTTCAAACAATGCGAATAAAATACGAGCCAGATTAACGTGAAGGTCGCGTGGAAATTTCTAGCAAAGCGCAAGGTTTAAAATAAGATAGAATCGAATCACGCATGCGATACCTACTACATAATTTTATATCGTATGTAGGAAAAATACAATTAAGAAAGGTGTCATAAACTTTAATTATAAATAAAATAAACAGTTTTAATAGTATTTAATTACAAAATTAAATGCATTCTGTAGATTAACCCATAAATAAATAATTAATCATCAGTATTCATCTCCGTGGGAAAATGGGTGGTCTTTATGGGTGACAGAGCTGAAAAAAACAATTAGCATAATTCTCTCAACTCTTGAAAAACTTACTCATCGTATGGGCAAATCCGTCCATTGCAATCGAAGGAGTTGATGGTCTGGATATCCTGAGGGGTCAACTCGAAATCCCAAATGTTAAAATTCTCTTGGATTCGGGATTTAGTGATAGATTTTGGGATTGTAATATGTCCTCTCTGGACTTGGTATCTCAGCACGACTTGAGCCGGCGTTTTTTTGTATTTTTCTGCGATTTTCTTAATTTTTGGATCATCTAAAAGTTTGGGATCATCGGGTTTAGCCCAAGGCCTGTCGGGAGAACCCAATGGACTGTATGCTGTTATGAGAATTCCCTTTGATTTGCAAAATTCCGAAAGCTTGACTTGAGTCAAATGTGGATGGCATTCGATCTGGAAATATTGATTTTAGTGAAAAAAAAATTAAAATTTATAAACAAACTGACTTGATTCGTGACTGGGACAATGGTCGCGTGTTGTAGAAGCCGTTCAATTTGTCTTTTATTAAAATTGGAAATGCCGATTGATTTTGTGAGGCCTTTTTTGCAGACTGCTTCCATAGCTTTCCAAGTATCGACAAAGTCGACGTCGCTGTAAGCAGTTTTTCCGGAAGCGTCAACAGGGAATAATTCTTTACCTTCCTATAGAAAAAAATGAGAAAGGTCAAGGATGTGTTGTTTTGCAAACCTTTAACGCAAACGGCCAGTGGATAAGATAAAGGTCGAGATATTCCAAGCCGAGATTTTTCAGTGTGGTCTTCAAGGCCGGTTCCACCAAGTCGGGGCGATGGAAAGTGTTCCATAGTTTGCTGGTGATGTAAAGGTCCTCACGTTTTACTACACCTTCCGCAATTTTTGCTTTGATTCCTTCGCCGACTTCTTTCTCGTTGCCGTAAACGTGGGCACAGTCGATATGCCGGTAGCCGATGTCGATGGCATCCTTCACGGCTTGGGTTACTTTACCCGGTTCTGACTAAATCATTCAAAAATTAAGATTAATTTGCTTTAAGTGACATTACATTCCCAAATTAAAATAAATAAATAAATAAATAAATTACCTTCCATGTTCCCAAACCAAAAATAGGGAACGTTTGGCCATTGTTGAATTTTACTGTTGGTACTTTAACCATTTTTGAAAGATTTTTTTGTTAAACAGTACGTATTTGTCTCGCGAAACAGCACCGACGACTAATATTTATGCATTTACTATTTCGCTTTTATACCGGCATACTCGGTTTTGTCCATGCGTACTATAGCTGATAAGCATTATTGACAATCATTGTAAATTTAAAAGATTACACTATGTAACACGAAATGATTCGAAATTTGTTTATTGGATTTTTTTGCGTAAATCAATTAGATATGTTGTATAAAAACGTAGTAGGCGCTTTTTATTGTTCTCCTGTCAGTACATTGACAAGTATATTGAACAGATTAAGAACTGGATGTAATTCAATGCTATTTAAATGGAATGCTGTTGTAAATCCATATTGTCAATGTGGTCAAGTGGAATCTGTACAACATATTGTCGAAGAGTGTCGACTTACGAGTTTTCAAGGAGGCTTCACCGAAATTCATGAGTTGTCGCCAGAAGCTAAAACTTGGTTGTCTACTTTCAAAACTTTATAATTTCATTTATGTACTTTGTTTTTTTTATGTATTGTCATACGAATATACAAGGTGATTCTTTTGGGGCCTATATTAGAAACTTTTTAACTTCTAATGCAGATAGAAATTTGAAATTTTGTACACAACTCAAATCGACCAGTCTAAGTTCAATTAAATTATTTTCAAAATGGCCAAACTTCCGGAATTACGAGAAATTGGCGCCAACTTTGAAATTTTAAATGGTACCCACTTATTTTTATTGCATTTTTGAATTCTCCCCTCCAAACTGAGTAAAATGTACCTAGTTGTTAGTACTTATCTGTCATAGTTTTTGACATATGTCAATTTTTTACTCAAAGTTTTCATTTGTAGAGGTTTATTAAAAACATCACAGCTCTTGAACCATTTGCGATAAGTGAATAATTTTTCCTGCATTCGATAACCAAATGTTCGAAGAGTTTCTTGAAGTTTTCAAAATTTCAACTGTCAAATTGCAAAGCTTATATGATTTTTTGAAAATGATATTTAACAAACAGCTATAACTCAGTTTTTTCAAATAAAAGGACCGTATTTTCTCAACGGCAATCGAAAGTACATCGATTTGTAGAAGGACTTTTATCAACATGTCCTATACCCATCTCTTTCAGTTTCTGAAATAATCACGAAAAACGTGTTTTTGTTTTTTATTTTTATAGTCAATCACATAGGCTTTGGAAAATGATCAATACGTATTAAAGATTTATTAGTCTACACAACACCTATCCGGAATTACGAAGAATTGAGGCCAGGATTGAGGCGGCATTTAATAATCTTCAACCAAATGAAATAATGGAAACCAGTCAAATCAGTTCACCATCGAGTTTTGGACTATTTGAAAATGGTAAACATATCCGAACATCTGTATTAATTATGGTATATCTTTATTGTATTTTTCCAAGGCCTACGTGATTAACTATAAAAATAAAAACAATAACATGTTTTTTGTGATTATTTCAAAAACTGTAAGAGATAGGTATAGGACATGTTGATAAAAGTCCTTCTACAAATTGATGTACTTTTGATTGCCGTTGAGAAAATAAAGTCATTTCATTTGAAAAAACTGAGTTATAGCTGTTTGTTAATGATCATTTTCAAAAAATCATACTAGCCTTGCAATTTGACAGTCGACAATTTTGAAAACTCTAAAAAACTTTTCGAACTTTTGGTTATCGAATGCAGAAAGAAATATTCACTTATCGCAAAGGGTTCAAGAGCTGTGATGTTTTGAATAAACCCCTGTAAGTGAAAATTTTGACCAAAAAATTGACATGTCAAAAACTATGACAGATAAGTACCTACTAACAACTAGGTACATTTTACTTAGTTTAAAGAGGAGAATTCAAAAATGCAATAAAAATAAGTGGGTACCATTTACAATTTCAAAGTTGGCGACAATTTCTCGAAGTTACGGAAGTTCGGCCATTTTGAAAATAATGAATTTAACTTAGACTGGTCGATTTGGGTTGTGTACAAAATTTCAAATTCCTATTTGCATTAGAAGTTAAAAAGTTTCTAATGTAGGACCTAAAAGAATCACCTTGTATATATATTGACAAGTATTTGTTTTGTTGTTGTTTGACGGAAAATTACGTTTATTTATCAAGCGATATAGTTCAAATATGCCTTGCAGGCTATCTCCTGATTTGTTTTGCTACGTTTGTGGATATTTTATTTTATAACAAAAAAACAACAAAAACAAAATTATACCCTGCACAAAGTTTTTTTTGAAGCATACGAAGCTTATTTTGGATTTTCGGTGGGTAATCATGATAAACCTTGGACCCCGCATGTTAGCTGTGGGAGTTGTCGATCAACGTTAGAAGGATGGATGCGTGAAGTCCGGAAGGCAATGCCTTTTGCAATTTCTAGGATTTGGAGAGAACCTACCAATCATTACAACTGTTATTTTTGTTTGGTTGATATTTTGCACTTTAAAAAAGGATAAGATCGACGTAAAAGCATCGTTTATCCAAACGTTTCTTCATCTACTGTTCCACTTCCACATGGTGACGAATTGCTCGTTCCAAATTCACCATTAGAAGAAGTTTCTTCAGAACAAGATGATGCTATGTCTACTGATACTTCCGTTGGCTCCGCTGATTTTGTACCCGAAAGATCGAACGAATTTCATTTTCCAAATCAACAAGAATTGGATGATCTGATCAGAGATCTAGGTGTTACCAAATCAAATGAGTAACTTTTAGCTTCACGACTTCAGCAATGGAATTTATTAGATCCCAGCTGTAAAATAACACGGTACAGAAAAAGGCATAAACATTTTGCAAAATTTTTTGAAATGTCTGAGAATGTATGCTATTGCTCAGATGTAGAAGGTCTTTTTGAGGAAATTGTACCTGAGAACTGGAGACTATTTATAGATAGTTCTACCAAGAGTATTAAAGCAGTTTTATTACACAACAAATGAGCATCCTTCAATTCCACTGGCTCATTCCGTCCATTTGAAAGAAGATTACGACAACGTTAAATTCCTGCTGCAAAAAATTAACTATGAAACCTTCCAATGAGATGTATGTGGTGACTTCAAAATGCTTGGTTTTCTTCTCGATTTATAAGGAGGGTATACAAAATATTCATGCTTTCTGTGTCTTTGGGACAGTAGAGCATTTGCAGAACATTTTATTAGACGCGACTGGCCAGTTAGGGAGCAATTTATTCCTGGAGACCATAACGTTATACATAACGTAAGATGACCAACCGTACTGTTTTATCCAGGACAGTAGGTACTCTTTTTTGTGGATGCTGTCCTGGTCAAAACATGGTAACAAAAAAACCAGTAGAAGTACTTCTTTTAATGTCCTGCCAAGCAACTTCAAATGCAAATAGAAGACCGAAGCAATACGGCATTTTTGCCATTTGCTGTTAAAAATATGGTTGAGTCGTTATAGACACATGGTGAAATCAACAAGTTTTTAAAAACATTGTAATTTGTTTTTATTCAACGTGTAGTGATTATCTTCGTGAATGGAGTGGATGTAGAAGTGTATGTAGAATATTTCAAATGGATTTTGGTTGAAAGCATTCTTAAATTTGATGATGATGTCTCTTCTGCGATTTATATTTCTCAAAACTTTCCCCACATAAATATTCTTGAAACGGAACTGTTTGACGAATTTTGTTTTTTGGCGAGATATGTACATAGCTAACAGAAGAAAAAGTCGAAGAATAGAAGAATAAATCTGTTAGCCTTTCAGATAGATGGGTGATTTTCAAACATTTTAAAGAAAACTATTTTACATATGACAACATAATTATATTGGTGGAGTACCTACTATATGTGTCTTCCGGGAAACATACAATTTTTTGAATGTGTTTTTTCGCAAATGAACAATTTGCGACTCAGTTACTAATTACAACGTTGCGTTCGATGCTTATGATAAAAACCAACCTGAAGTATACATGTATTTTTTTAATTTAATAGTTTTATAAAGAAATTTTCTTTTGTTGATGTTTTTTGATGTAGGTATTTGTTTTTGTTTGTTTAAAATAAATATTTAGTAGTTATCCACCAATTTTATGTCCTGGTTTTTGGTTTTCTGTAGTTGATCATCTTAACATACCTAACGCCCTTGTTGCGGTTGAAAAAATTTTGCTGCCACCGTTACACATAAAGTTAGGTCTCATAAAGCAATTTGTAAAAGCACTGAATCATTCTTTCGAGTCGTTTCTGCATATAAGATCAATGTTTTCAAGAATATCAGATGCCAAAATAAAAGCAGGCATATTTACAGGGCCACAGATTCGACAAATGTTAAAATCCCACAGTTTGGAAGACAAATTGACTGACATAGAAAAAAATGCTTGGGAATCTTTTAGACTAGTTGTGGAAAATTTTCTTGGTAACCGGAAGAGCGACTACTATAAAGAACGTATTGAAAATTTAATTCAATGCTATCACCAACTTGGATGTATGATGTCAATAAAGCTTCATTTCTTGCATTTCCATTTGTATTTCTTTAGACCAAATTTGGGAGCAGTCGGCGAAGTACATGGTGAGAGATTTCACCAAGATATCTAAGAAATGGTAACGCGATATCAAGGACGCTGGAATACTGCAATGATGAGGGACTACCTTTGGGGCTTAGTTCGTAATTATGATAGTTCAGCTTACAAGCGCAAAAAGCGATCTCACATTAGTTTTGAAGTTACCTGTTAATTTATGTTTGTTATTATAGTTCCTTGGTTTATTAATTATTGATAGAATTTTGTTATTTTCTTGTTTGTGGTCAAAATATAAACTTACAATGATTCAATTTTAAAAAGATTTCTTTTTTTCATTATGTTAGTTCTACCGACACTACTTACAAATTTTTAACACAGTTTCACTTATTAGGACCTAAACACTCAATAAACAACAACAAAATAAAATAAACGCAAACTTGCTCACATTTTGTTACATAGTGTTATTTATCACTTCAATGTAGTTTATTTTCTAAACTAAATTAAACAAAACTAAGTAAAAGGGTAAAGAAATTTTAAAAAATAATGAAAGTACCTTAAGTACTTCGAAAATGGGGGTTTTACGCTATGGTTTTACAATTTTGCCTTGTGAAAATATTAATATAAATACAGTTACGCAATAAATATAAAATATTTCATTATAGATTACATAAGAAAAATATTTAAGATTATTTAATAAAATAATCGGTATCTTATCAAGTAGCAATATTGTAAATTTTTTCACGGCGATTAATGGAAAATTTATGATAAAAATGATTAAATCAAATTTTTTCTTCTAAATGACTTGACAATTTAATTTAATTTTTGATGGGTTTAAGTTTTTAAGTTTTAAGTAAAGCCTTGTGGAGTAAAAAAATGGGGGATTTTAAGTGGGTGGGACAAGAATTTTCCTTTCGAAAACATTTAAAATAATAAGTTAGTATAGTTTTCAATTTATTAATGGGCATTTTTCAAGAGTAATTCTTATTAGCGTAAAAATGTTTATAGACAAAACTATAGTTTTGACCACTTCGGATTGTTGTTGAGTGATAAAAAATTGTTTCTGCACTTTGAAATAGCTATTTATGTATCAAGTATGCAAAATAGAATCGTAATTAATGACGAAGCGACGTAGGAACCGAGTCTTTAATGAGAGGGAGTCACCTAAAACCTGTTGCGTACGTGGTGCATACAAGATTTTTTTGTTAAAGCTCCCAAAACACGAATTCACACCTCTTACTAATTACAAAAATTTCGTTACCATGATAACCAATTTTATTTTTTTAGTCCGCAAAAACTGTTTTGGGGACTGAGTACCTAAAATAACCGTTTTGCGTACTATTTTATTGAGTCCGGAAAAGACTCATTTTAAGGAGTCAAATGAGTCCCTAAAACAGTTGTTTTATACAAAAAATAAATTTTTTCGCAATCATATTGTAATCTATCAATTTCATGACATAACAACAGCTGGGATGATGATTACTAAAACTATCCGGGAAATTTTTATACCCCAAACAATATTACATACCTAGAAAATGGTTTGCATAACTTTGATGAGCCCGACTATCATTACAATTAGCGAATTAGTTAGGTTGTATGTTGTTATTTGATATTCTTTAACGGCCACACAACATTTATAATATTCAGAAACTAACTAAAAAAGGGCCAATTTTTGGAATTGTATTTTGATGGTTATTATATTTTTTTTACTGTCATGCTCCGCTCATTACATTGACTTATATTTATTACATCAGGATATTATTTTATTATTCAAGATTAATAGTAAGTTGTTATTTTTACATTGGCTGATTGTAAATAAAATAGAATTAACCAACGCTTGGCTGTAATGAAGCTCTGCGGTCGTTGAAAACTAAGACACTTTGACAAATCTAAAATTTTGCCATTGTAAAATGCCCTGAAACTGAAGTTTTTAAAATGTCATTCAAATAATACGGATCAGTGTAGTAGAGTGGAAAACTTTAGTTTAAAACAATGAACTTAAATTTTGTAGACAAAAATAATTAATATTTTATTGCAGCACCATCCGCATCTCAAAAATTGAAACTGACATTGTCATCCTTGATGAAAGCCTATTTAGTTTACACTTTATGAATTTTTAAAATAGCAAATAGTATGCCGAAAGTGTATTTCTCAGTTTTCAAAGACCGCAACAATGACGAGCATTACCTATCATTGCATAAACACGTGAAACGAACGTGTGGATGTCAAATAGCTATCGGAACCGAGCATGGAACTTTTTACGAACCCCAACTGATCAACAGCTACCTCACCTCCAAAAAATCCTCTCTCCAGCATGGTAATTATTTTCATTTTGTTGAAGTTAGAGACTGGCGATACAATAAAATATTTGTTAATTAGTTTTTGGCGTAGTGTTTTGACATTTATACTCATTTTTGAAAGAAGGTTGACAACAGACAAAATTACACAGGAAAACTAGTTTTTTTGACAAAAAGATGAAGTGTCAAAATGACATTACCTACCAAAATTTAATGCTCGCCATTGTATGTATGTACTTAATACTACAGGGTGCCCATTTTATTTGTACATTTCATAAACTACTTTGTATGAAGTATTAACTATTTTATCGTATCATCATCTATTATGTTCGCTTAATACGTTCGATCCGAGACATTATACGTTAGATACCAACTCAAAATATATTAATTAGGTACAAAATCATAGTAAACATTCCATTGACCTTTCAGTTTTTGACACATTGCCTCTCTTATTCACTCGATTATCTTGCAAATCTAAAATGTTTCCACAAGGTAAGTAGATGATACGATAAAGCTTTGAATATATCTCGAATATTAGCGATTTAATCCATCTCGGACGATGCGGAGGTGACTCGGCTTAACGTCTTCTCACTTTAACTTTTTTAAATTGCCCAGTTTGCCGTAAATTGCTCAGAATCTTCAGGAAAACATAATTTGATGGAATTCTTTATTTTCCTGGCTATCTTATGGCATACAGACTGCGTTATAATTCTCGCGGTACTCCCCCAAAATTAATATCATATCCGTTTTTTCAGAGATGTTGTACAACATAGTTCATTTTTAGGATTGTCACGAATTAATTACAACTTGAATTAATTTTGCAATAAAAACTGAGAAAATCACGGACATAACCAGCAGCTGTCTATTCGTTTATTATAAAAAATAACATTTTAAATACAAAGTCTCATATGAAAAGTTAAATTGGTTGCCTATGGCGGGAGCAGCTAAAATGGGCACCCTGTATTTTTTTTGCTATAAGATTTTACATACACTATTTACAGGGTCTGAGAAAAACGTATTTAAAATGGGCAAAATTTAAAAATGGAGTAATTAATAAAAATATAAAATCTTGTGGCTCAACGCATTTTTTCGTTTTATAACTATTATATAACGTGTAAATGATTAATTTTTTCGCGGCCATTTTCAAATCATTATTATCTGTCACTGTCTCGTGGCAAATGACATGTTTGTTTTTTGCCAGTTCTTAAGGACAACATTTAATAATTATTTAGCTAGGGATATCAGTGGAAAAGCAAATTTAATTAAATCAGCTGTAAGTATCAAACAGATAAGACGTTGTAATAGGTTTGTACTAAATAAATAAATTAAACTGAGTAGTCGTCTATTCAGTCTCTAAGAGATAACATGGCAAAAGTCCCCAAAGTCAGATTCAACAACGGGCTAGAAATCCCAATCTTTGGTTTGGGAACATGGAAGGTAAGCTTTAGATATTTTAAAAACCATTGATTAATTTTAAATCCAGTCCAAACCAGGACAAGTAGCCCAAGCTGTAAAAGATGCTATTGATATTGGCTACCGTCACATCGACTGTGCTCACGTTTACGGGAATGAAAACGAGGTTGGAGACGCTATCATTGCTAAAATCAAGCAAGGAGTCGTAAAACGTGAAGAGCTTTTTGTTACAAGCAAATTGTGGAATACATTCCACCGTCCTGATTTGGTAGAGGGTGCAATTAAGAAGACGTTGTCAGACTTGGGGCTCGAGTATCTAGACTTGTATCTGATCCATTGGCCTCTTGCTTACAAGGTATAGATTTTCAAGTCATTGTAAGATTCCATCACATTATTACATGTGTGATAAACTAACTTCATACCAGAAGGTTATACAAAGTTATCAGTTAGATAACAATGTTATACAATTTTGAATTAAACCATTTAGCTTATCAACGTAATTGAAAACTATAAATAATTAAAAATGCAAAATTATAGGAAGAAGCAGGGTCACTATTCCCAACCGACCCTCAAGGTAAAATCCAATTCAGCGACGTCGATTACGTCGACACTTGGAAAGCCATGGAAGAACTGGTCAAAAAAGGCCTAACCAAGTCCATCGGAATTTCCAATTTCAACAAACGCCAAATTGAGCGAATTTTATCAGCCGCAACAATTACTCCAGTTACAAATCAGGTTGAATGCCACCCTTATCTCAATCAAAGCAGATTGATTGAATTTTGCAAATCTAAAAACATCACTGTGACTGGTTATAGCCCCCTTGGTTCTCCCGATAGACCCTGGGCTAAACCAGATGAACCCCAATTATTGGATGACCCCAAACTTAAAGAACTTGCGAAAAAATATAACAAAACTTCTGCTCAAATCGTGTTGAGATATCAAGTGCAAAGAGGGGTCATTACCATTCCTAAGTCGGTCACAAAGTCTAGGATTGAGGAGAATTTCAATATTTTTGATTTTGAATTGTCGGCTGATGATGTTAAATATTTGAATACGTTTGATTGTAACGGCCGTTTTTGCCCAATGACTGCGTAAGTATTTGTTTTTTTTGCGGTGTAATTGATCGTCATTATTTTTTTCTTTCTAGGGGGTTGGGGCACCCACACCATCCATTCGAAAATGATGATTATTGATTGTGTTACATTTTTTCCAATATTTTATTATGAGGTTAATAAAAATATTACTACTAAAATTCTACACCTTCAAACGGGTAGTGAGGCAAGCCTTTGAGTTCCTCAGCATGGACTGCCCTTCCGTCACAATTGAAACTGTCCACAATCACCATATCCTCCTCACTTAACTCAAAATCAAAAACGTCGATGTTTTGTTCAATACGACTTGGATTGGACGATTTTGGGATTGGAATAGTTCCCAGTTGTATCAAATAGCGTAAAATTACTTGACACGCTGTTTTATTATACTTTTGGCCAATTTTGACCAATTTGGGATCATCGAGTCTCAAAACAGGATCACCAGGTTTGGCCCAAGGCCTCGCCGGTGATCCAAAAGGGCTATAAGCTGTGATTTGTACATCTCGAGCTCTGCAAAATTGAATCAACTTTTTTTGATTCAAATTTGGACTCACTTCAACCTAAAAAAAATATAATTAGAAGAATATTTCCAATTCCAATGAAACAAACTTGATTCATCACAGGTTTGATTCTCGCGTTTTTCAAAACTCGTTCCAATTGTTTGCTATTAAAATTCGATAGACCGATACTTTTTGCAATCCCCAAATCCACACATTCTTCCATTCCTTTCCACGTCTCCACATAGTCATAATCAATCCCTACGGAGTCCTTGAAAGGCAGTCTTATGTTTAATTCGCCTTTGATCTTTTGTGCTACAGGCCAGTGAATAAGATACAAGTCGAGGTAATCCAGGCCAAAATTCTTCAATGATTTTTTACAAGTTGGAACGACTTTTTCACGTTCGTGAAACGTGTTCCAGAGTTTCGTTACGATGAAAAGTTCCTCTCTTTTAACAGTCCCATCGGCAATTTTTTCCCTAATCGCTTCACCAATTTCTTTTTCGTTACCGTAAAGCATAGCACAATCGATGTGTCGGTAGCCGATTTCAATGGCGTGTTTGACGGCTTTTTGCACTTCCCCTGGCTCAGACTGGGAACAAATTAACTAATTATGCTTACTAAAATTTACAAACGTACCAGCCAAGTCCCTAAACCGAGTTGAGGGCATTTTTTACCGTTGTTGAGGGTTACTAAAGGTGCAACTACCATTTCGTAAGAAAAAAACGCACTGCTAATTTTATTTATCTTTTTTCGAATTTACAAATAGATTACGAAATTTAGTTTTGCTAAAGTAACTTACATTTGTACTCGAATGGGAGTTAAGTAATAGTTGGTAAATCACGTGACGCTATTAATCATAACAGGAAAATTGTTTTTATTAGCGTGCTTTTAGTCCCCACTTATGCAAATATGAGAAGCTGCTAGAAAATTAACATCTATTCATTATCAACGAGCATCGCATTACTAAGGTTTTATGAATTCCAGAACATGATAGTTTTAATTTTAGTTTAGCTAGGATAAATAAATAAAAATTTTGCAATTACCGACGTTTATTTCGTAATTTTGTTATATAACCATATATTATTTTCTTATGAAAGTATTAACAATAAAAATATGAAAAAAGTGGACTAAGTATTTAATCTATATCAGTTTACGAGATCACAATAGAACACAAACCAAATAAATACCATTAACAATCATTAGAAAAACATAGTTAATATGTAGAAAATGTGAGTAACAATTACAATTAACGCTGCTGGTGTAACCTTCAAAAATATATAAGTCTCGCATCTGAAGGACTTTGTTCAATTGGACAGTACGGACATTTCATCCTACGGAAGACAATCAGTATAAATTTGTCTTGATTACAAAACAACTTACTTATTTCCATTACATAACTTATGCAAAGCATCTCTTGATATTACGTGTCCACAGATAAGCCTCATTGGTGGGTTATTTTGAGTGGATTGTTGTCTTAAGATAGGACAAGCAAACATCGAGTGATACCTCCCCTCACTACCTAAATCAATCTCAATCTAAAATAATTAATTTTTAACAACCTAACTTGCAAAAAAATTGAATTAAATACCGGTAATTCATCTTTGCCATTCCAAATCCCTGTCACTTGTCTCTGCATCATGACTTGTTTGATATTAAGCAACGCAGGTATAGCTGAACACCCAGCATTGATGCAAGTCCCTAATGGACTATTGACACTTACTCCCAACAATTGGCAAGCATCATTAGTGAAAAGTTCGTAAATTTCTAACCACATTTCTGAATCTAATAAGCAACTGTAGGGAGAGCTGCCGATACCATTTGGGACGTAGAGAAGCATTCCCATTAAGGTTTGTATATCTAAAATAAAAATTAATAACTTGTTGACTTTTTTCTCAACTTTACCTTTTTCATGTCTAAGTACAAATTTCCTAAAATGAATCCTAGCATACGAGATAGCATCAGTTTGATGGGAAGCACCTTGTTTCAACAATTCAATAAATTTCAACCTATGTAACTTAAATTCTAATGACGAATTTTGCGCTTCAAGAGCGTCATGATGAGCAGTAGCCCAAGCTAAGGCTGGTTCCAAGTCTTTCTGTTTAAGGCTGTCTAGTATGTGATTGAGTTCAGTAAACGGCTCCTTATTGTGAATCTCTGGCGCAATATCAGCATCTTGCACCAAAGCCTCAGCTACTTCTTGCATTCCTTGTCTATACAAATGCTGACAGATCACTTTATTAATTAGATTTATTTTATCGGGGGCTGCGAAAACCTCCTCGCGACTAGTGGCAGCAAAATCAGCAATGAAATTCCGATCTATGGCTTTACCAACTTTTGAAACAGTACTGTGCAAATCCCGGTGATCTGTAGTGAGTCTCGAGACGGTTTCTTTTACTTTTCCCATACATTGTTTCAGGATATCTATTTGGACATTTGTCAAAATGTGATCTTCAGGAGCTAAAAGCGGTAATTGCTATATAATTAGAACTCTTTGTTTTGTTGGGGGGAATGACTGCGAACTTTTTTTCTTGCAATTACTTACCGCTTTCGAGTTCGGCCTTTAAGCGCTCGATATGCGTTATCAAATCGGATAAAATGCGACCCGTGTTTTCATTGATATCACCAAATTTTGTTAAAACTCTGTCTATTTCTTTTTCGACTGCTAAACAGGCGTCCATATTTACTTTCTGGAAAACTGTCACTTGTCTTGTCAGTCTGCATGTCAGTGGTATTAATATGCGAAGGGAGTCTTATGCGCGAAGAGTCTTAATAATTGCTTTAAGTTGTAATAAAACGTTAATTTCTTAAAAGTTTAAAAACTTAATACATAATAGTTAATACATCTTTATTTATAAATTGGACGCAAACTTGCGACGTTTTAGTTTTTAGATTTTTAAAACCTCAAGAGCATATAGTCCCAAGCGTAAAAATGTTTTTTGTAAGTTGTGTATTCTTAGTTGCATAACTTAGAGATCTTTAAAAAATTGAAAATAATGTAATTTTAGCCTATTCCGCTATTGTTTCAAGTTGTTTCCGCGTTTTTATTACACTAAACTTATCACTTTCCTTTTTCCTTTGTTTTCATCGAGATTTTTGTGTACATTTATTTTAGTGCTTTTTTTTTGATGAGTCATTAACCAAAGTAGTATTTACAGCTGTGATTTCAATAAATTTAATCACAAGTAGTGTTACTCAGGTAGCATACGTTTTAATCGGGACTTTTTAACCGTTTTTATTGTTCAAAATTTGGTTTAGACGTTTATTTCGGTCAAGAATGGATTCAGACAGCGAAGACGATATGTTGTATTATTCCCACCAAAAATTATCAAGTTTGATAAGACAAAAAGGGAATAAAAATGCAGCAATTAAGGAATATTTAGAAAATTTAAATTATCAGCCCATCAAGGATTTTACACCAGGTATTCATTTGTTTCCATTGTTGCACATAACCTCACTTTTGCCCTTTAGGACTTGAATGGTTCAATGTTTCCGAACCTTTGTCTTTTTCGAAGCATTTGAAGGGTAAAATTGTCGTTTTGGATTTCTTTACGTATTGCTGTATTAACTGTATGCATATCATCCCCGACTTGCGCGAAATAGAAAAGGAATTTACTGTAGAAGATGGCCTTGTTGTGGTAAGTTTTTTTTATTTTTAGTTTTGTGCTAATGTTTTATACAGATAGGTGTCCACAGCGCAAAGTTTGAAAATGAGAAAGTGTCCTCGAATATCCTTGCGGCTGTGCAACGTTACAACATCACCCATCCTGTCGTCAACGATTTGAATTCCCAAATGTGGAAAAATTGCGAGGTCAATTGCTGGCCGACTTTACTGATTTTGGGACCAAATGCCAACCCCATTGTTATGCTAATGGGAGAAGGACACAAAGAAAACTTACAAACATATATCAGAGCTTCTTTAGAATACTATAAGGAGAAAAATCAAATTTCTAATCATCAGATTCCATTCAAATCAGCTTATCATTTACTCCCTGATTTAAAAGGCCCCTTGTTATTTCCTGGCAAAATAACGAATTTCGTTACAGAGGGCCAACAAGAAATTTTAGCCATATCAGATACCGGCAACAATCGCATTCTTATTTTAAAATCAGACGGGACCATTTTACATCAAGTTGGTAGCGGGAAAATTGGTTTTCGCGATGGAACTTTTACACAAAGTGAATTTAACGCCCCTCAAGGTCTAGCTTTCCAAAATGAAAATATTCTCTTTGTTGCTGACACAGAAAATCACGCAATTCGGAAAATCAATTTAAAAAATAAAACAGTTGAGACTGTTGTTGGGTCAGGTGTACAAGGTCATGACAGAGCTGGAGGGAAACAATGGACGCAACAATTTATATCATCACCTTGGGATTTGTGTATTTATAGAACGCCAGACATGGATATGAGTTTTTACCCAGATGGGAATCCCCCACTTAGAGAAATTTTAATTATTGCAATGGCAGGGACTCATCAGATTTGGGCCTTGTTTCTTGAAGACACAGTTTGGTGGAAATGTAAAAAGTATCCTGCTGGGACTTGTCTAAGCATTGCTGGGTCTGGGAAAGAAGAAAATAAAAATAATGCTTATCCACACGCTGCTGGGTTTGCACAGCCCTCTGGTTTAGCTTTGTGTAACAAAAACAAGGAACTTTATATTGCTGATAGTGAGAGTTCAAGTGTGAGACGCTTGTCATTGGTGGATGGAAAAGTCATGCCCGTGGTTGGAGGAGACAGAAACCCAAATGTAATAATAATTTTTCAACTCTTGTTGTTACTATATCATCTCATTTCAGAATTTATTCGCGTTTGGGGACAAAGACGGAACCTTGTTTGAAGCAAAGTTTCAACACCTTCTAGGTCTCGCGATGTCAAAAGACGAAGATTTGCTTTTCGTGGCCGATACTTACAACCACAAGTTGAAAAAAGTGAAAATTGAGGAAAACTCCGTGTCTACGGTCACACTTCCGGCTTCAGACGCCACAGATGGCGGCAAAAGTCAATCATTTAGCGAGCCTGCAGGTTTGTGTGTCTCTTCAGATGGAAGAAAAATATACCTAGCGGACACTAACAACCACTGTGTTAAAATCTTAACTCTCGGTTCCGATTATTCCGTCAAGTCCATAAATAAATTAAATTTAAATTTGGCGGAAAAGACATCGAGTGACGTAGAAATTAAACACCAAATACTGGATTATCCAAGTATCACAATTAATAATCAAGGTGGAAAAATAATATTTTCATTAAACATCGAATTTACCAACGGTTTAAAATTGACAGAAGAAGCACCACAAAAATGGTCAGTTAAGCTTCCGGATGTTACATGGTCTTGCGTCCCTAGTAGTGGCGATAAATTGAAAAATATTGATGTGGTGGTTAGTGTCCCCAATCAAGGCCAAATTGATTTTATTTTTGATTTGGTAACTTGTACTGTTGAAACATGTTTACCCAAAAGTTTTATTGTCCGAGTGCCTATTAACTTGAAAAGTAATGTTTCGACTAGTGTAAATGCAAATATTAACGTGGTTCTAGATCCGAATAATATTCAAGTAAATTAATTGTTTTTTGACACGAATGAAGAGCTTTGTTGTAGATTTTATTAAGTACTATGGCAAATTATTTTATTTATTCCTTGAAATAAACGTGACTTTATTAACATAATAAACTTTTCTTTTAATTATTTTCTTTGATTCTAATTTCTTTATTTGTTATCACGTTCGTAAAATAGTCTATTTTACGATTGTGGTCTATATATCCCCGCAAGTTAAAAAAAATACTATTCCAGTTAATATATTTTTATATCTGAGAAACTTAGTAAGGATGAAATTTTTATTTAAAGATTAACTTGGGAACAATCATTTAAATTACATTCATTATCATTATCATTAGTATTTATCGTTGGCAAAATATCAGTAAGAATTAAATAAATCAATAGTGTTTTATTCTAAACAATAACCTACCATTCTTTAATGGTGATTACTTGTCAATATATCCACGCAAATTGAAAAACACTGATCCCAACGAGTAGATTTTTTTTAATACAGAAATTCCCCAATTGTAATTGACGTAGAATGTGTCGCTAAATTTCGTGATTTGTATCGGTTTTTCGCAGTTCATTAGAAAAATTATGAATATTGTTCTATTCTCGTTATTCCAAGTGTACCACGATTGAACCAGTATTGTATTGTAAATTTCAGCACTCTAAAAATTGACTATTTATTAAATTCAGCAAACATTTATTTACCTCTATTTCGACAGTTTCACTGGCATCAATAGCACAAAAGAGGGTGCTGAGATAAATTGCACCACTCAAAATTATTTGATATGTACTGTAGTAAATTGTGCCCTGAAATATTACCTACGTCATAAATTTCCAACTCTTATGTTAAATTTACAGTTGCAGCGATGAGCAATACACAGATTCCTAATAATGTTGCCGATATGGCATACATGACGATAAATGGTCCAATAGATTTATTTATTTTTGCGACATACTGCGCAATATATGAATGCCGACGAATAAATAATTTGAGCTTTTGTTTCATCTCATCTTGATATCGGACATTGTAAAATAAATTAGGATCATCCACGTTGTAATTTTTTGTCATTTCTTTAATACGCTCTACTAGTAATTTTACTTGAAATTTAAATTTTCTGCTAAAATAAAGTGCTCGAAGAGAATTCACAGTCATCAGTGGAAACATCAGGACAAAATCTACTTTGTAGAGGTAGTACAAACATCGAATTATTTTTCGAGGAATTATTATCTCCATTTCCATTAGTATTTTTATAGCATAGTGATAGTGACTTTCATCTTTATTTGGCAGAATTAGACTTGTACCAGCTACAAATGCTAGTACAGTATTTAAAATTACGTAAACGTTAACTGAATAGATGTGTTGCTTAATGGCAATTTGGGTTTCTTTGTTTGCATTATGTTCACTCCAGAAGTCGAACTCGTGTTGAAACTTTTCTGCATCTCTCATAAAAAGGATTCCGCAAAGAGATGCTAGGACCTATTGAAGATTTTTGTTATACAGGCTGTTCTGGCTAAGCCTCACATTAAAAGTATTGGAAGTGCTAACAATGATTGTGTTATAGCCATAATCGGTTAGGTCTTGCTTAATGAAAGTATTTTCAAGATGGCAGCACTTTTGGATACACCGGGAGTGAGTATCAACTTCGTTATTTTAAATAGAAAGCTATGTTTTTTATTGCGTTTTTGGATTACTCAAGTGATTTTGAGAGAGTTTTCATTAGCCCTCTCTATACAGGGCCGCCGCTAGAGGTTTTGACGCCCGCGTGTACATTTGAATTTGACGCCCCTTGTTAGTTTGTTAAGAAAATATGGGTATACTTATTTTATTACATAGGTGTGATACCTAAAAATATACAGGGTGGGCCAGAACTCGCGCCCCAGAGAAAAATGTCAAGTGCCGGCGGCAATGGGTCGCCACAAAGTGCAGCCGAAGAAGTAACTTTTGTTTGCATAAGAAAGTTATTAGTCCCTTAATTCCGCCAATCCCAGAAGGGCACCTCAGAAAAATTATATCTGTTGCTGGGTTACAAAAATAATACCAATTTGTCTAGAATCTTCAATAAATAGTTGGTCTACTGTAATTTTCACATCTGTCATGTGTTGACATAACACGCTATTTTGGAATATTTTTCTCCCCGAAGAGGTTGTACACGAGTGTAATGGTTTGAATTTGTGTTAGATGTCAATTGTGTGGTTTAAGTTAACAAGTTTTAACCATGTAATTAGCTGCTGATTATTTGGAGATAATAACCATTTTTGGAAAGTGTTGGCGTAACGCCAGCTAGGATATTTTCCGAACGTTTTCCTGACAGAAATCGCCCATGCTATAAGGTCACATTGAAGGCCATTCCCAGGGTGCAAGATCGGTCAAGTCCTACCAGACCGAAAAGAAATTAGAGGTGTTCTCAGAACGGCGCGCATAGTTGAAAATGAAGAAGCTTTTCTTGATTTTTTAAGGTCGCACTAAGTAGATGCATCAGAGAAGTTGTAGTCATTATAAATGACATATTCGTATTATGACAGAGAAAATTTCAAATGCTTTGTTTCCGGGGGCATTTCAGCGATGATTTTCAGTAAATTTGTGGACTGACTGAGAATATTCCAAATGCTTTTTTCCGGGAGAATCAGCAATGATTTTCAGTAAATTTGTGGACTGTTTAATTTCAATATCAATATTGCAATACTCTTGTGGATTGTTTAATGAAAAAGAAAGCAAGGGGTCTTAGTGCAATGTGTGTTTTTAGGTTACACTACCGAACAAAAATATCTTGATAAATCTACAATTATGACAGTAAAAATTATCCTAACCTGTTTTGTTCAAGCACAAATTCTTATAAAAAGTACATTTTTCTGTTAGTTTTGCAATAAAGTAAAGAAACTGGCGTACATTTTTGTCTTTCTGGTTAATCTAACTTGCATTAGTTTTCGGCTTGTTGTCTGTGTCATATCGAAGAAAAAGTTAAGGAGGAACAATGCTTCTGAAGAAAACATCTAAAAGTATTAAAATAGTTGTTGGTTCATCGCAATGGAAATCGAGTTTTCAAAAATTTTCAACGATTTCGTCTCATTATACTTATGCACAACATCTTCAGCGAGAAAAATATTCGAAAATAGTGTGTTATGCCAAAAACATGACAGACAATTACAGTAATCCAGCTATTTTTTAAAATTCTGGGCAAATTGGTATTATTTTTGTAACCTAGCAACGGATATAATTTTCCAATTATACCCTGAGGTGCCCTTCTGGGATTGGTGGAATTAAGAGTCTCTCAACTTTCTTATGCAAGCAAAAGTTACTTCTTCGGCTGCACTTTTTGGCGACCCATTGCCGCTGGCATTTGACATTTTTCTCTGGGGCGCGAGTTCTGGCGCACCCTGTATAAGTGCCAAAAAATAAAACAAATGAACAAAAAAAAAATATTTAATCAAAAATTAAATTTGTGATTTTAAAAACGCAAATAAGAAAATAAAACATAACATCATAGAAACTATAAATCCTTAAAGAAATTGTATTTTCCTCACTTTCATACTTGCAAACTCTGTAACCAGCTCCTTTATATCTAAATTATCTAACAGCTCTTGTTCAATTGCAATAATAGATAAGCTGCTAGCCTAGACTGAACCATGGTGAATCTTAAATAATTTTTTATGATTTTTAATTTAGAAAAGATCTTTTGTCAGACAAAATTGATCTGGTAAGGAAAGTAAAATTCTTAATGTAGAATTGCTGTTTTAGGAAAAGTAGAAATTAAATTATTTTCAAAAAGATATTGTAAAATATTTGAAGGTTCTTGCATAATTTTTTCGATGAAATGTATTTTTAAAACTTTAAAAGTCTGAAATTTTTTTAATAATTCTTCCCAAGAATATTGTCAGCAAATCCAAATGTATCATTAAATGTATTTAGTTTTTCAAACCTATTATTTAAAGAAGACAAAACTTGATTCAAAATCCTGTAGAAAAGTTAGTTTTGAAATTATTTTTTGCATCTAACACAACTTCGTCTTGATGTTTGTAATCAAAGAGTTTTGGTTTTCTTTTGGGCGTACAGTTTGCATCATCGGAAAATTTGGTTCTACATTGAGTTGTCAGCAATTTTTTTTTGCTTCAATCATTACATCTAAACGTATAATTAAAATAGGATTAAAAATTTTAAAAAATGGTACCAAGATATTTGTTTAATTGTAATACTTCCAAAAAAATCTCTAATTTAAAAACAAATTTTCGACTAATACAAAGCACGAATCCACTAAGTAATAAAGCAAACTAATGAAAGGAAATAAAAAATTGGATGCGATCTTAGTATGTGTATTTTTTTAACCCAAAACTATATAAAATTTGTTTTATTCAGAAGTCCAGATTCAGTGAACTTGGCGGCGCAATACCTCTATTAGAGTTCGAATATTGTAAGATGAACACCTTGAGTCATTTAAATCCAACAAACCGTTTGAATGGCTCACGGTGTACATCTTACAGTGTTCGAACTCTAATCTCTGAAACAGGAAACGGCCACATGACTAGTTTTTTCACATAGGTAACGTTTTGTTTTTTTTGTTTGGTTGCAGTTTTTTCTTGCAGTTTTTTTTGTTCACTGCGAAATTCAAAATGTCTTTTTTTTATTACATTTTGTTACTGTTTTGACGCCCCCTTAACTCTGGCGCTCGCGTGCGTCGCACGCTTTGCACCCCCGTTTGTGGCGGCCCTGTCTCAATAATAAAGTTTAATCGTTTTCGAAATTTGTGTTTAGACTTTTTTGAAATTCTTTGGATTTGCATACCATCCTATTCAAAAATCGATAATTTTTAATTATTTTGAAATCATATTTGGGCATATGAAATTTTGGGGATTTGTCAATTATTTTTCCAATTATGAATAGACCAAAGAGAAAATCTAACCTTTATCTTTCATATCCCCAAAAACGATTTCAGAATAATTAAAAACGGTATAGTATCAATTTTTGAATAATAGTAAGATGCAAAAACAAAAAATTTCAAAAAAGTACAAAATCTCGAAAACAGTTAAACTTAGGTATGGGGAAGACTGATAAAAACTTTCTCAAAATCACTTGAGTAATAGAAAAATGTAATAAAAAACGCTTTCTATTTAAATTAACGAAGGTAATACCCACTTCCAGTTACACCGGAAGTGTCGCCATCTTGAAAATATTTTCATTGAGCCAGGACCACACCGATTATGGCTATAAACAAAATTTTCGATAAATGTCATTGTTAGTACTCCCAACATGTACTTACTTCTAATGTGGGGTTTAGCCGGAACAACCTATATTTTTTTTTGTTACGACACTTACGTAAATGGAGCCCGAAATTATAGGACCGTATTGAATTATGTACACTGATTCTGCATCCATCATAAATTGATATAGTCCAATTAAAAAGGCCAGCCAGTTTGAAATTAATGCCATGTAAATAAATAATCTCATTAATTTTATTTGAAACAGTCCTACAGCCAAAAAGTGGAGCAATGACATGAACAAATCTGTATTTAATTGTTATAAATAGGTGTTTTATAAAATAAACCAAGTTTACCGTCTCTTTTAGTACTCATTGCAACAACAAAATGATGAAAAACTGATTATACAACAACTATAATAACATTAATAACTTACCTAAATACCATTTAAGATTGAAATATTAATCCAAAAATACATTATTGTCGTTATAAAATTCATTAACTATTATTTTTAATCGTTTGGTAATGGTATTATCTAGCTTAATGTCTTTACAAAACGGTTTGTTAATTTCATTTTGAAGAGCACGTGGGTTTTTTATTCATCATTAAATTCAAAATTCTAAAGTTTGCTGTGGTAAGTGTGAAATTACATTTTATTAAATTTAGTTTGACTACAACTGATAAAAGATGATTATAATAAGATTGGTGGGTCCACAGAACAATAAAGATTCCATTCCTTCGAAAAAAAATTGAAAAATAGAAACGGTCGTGGAGTTGAAAATTGACCTGATAACACAGGTCAACAAGGTTCGGTAACATTGATGACAATTTGGTCAACAGTAGTTTTTTACTTTTTAAATAACAAAATGCATTTCGTTTTTTGACAACATGTACCGTTTACTTGTTGCATTTTTTACCAAAATACATTTTCTGCACTCCCACTTGGATTTTTTTCCAACAAATCTGAAGGCTGTCAGTGACGAACAAGAGGTTCCACCAAGACATCAGAAAGATGGAAGAACGCTATCAAGACCGCTGGGATTCTTCCATGATGGGCAATTGTATTGTTGGCTTTTAAAATGCGACAGTAACGTCCCTAACAAAAGAAAATGTTGAGATTTCACTCCTTTATTGTAATATATGACTTTTTTAATGTTTCTAAAGTTAAAAAAAATTGTATGCTTATAATAAAATAAATAGTTGAATTATTTTTGTGAAATTTTTCGAAATCAGAGTGAAAAATCATAAACATGGAAGGTAGTTTAATCAATGTTACCGAAAATTTGTTCAAATTTCTTGACCAATGTAATTGAAGAGAAACCAAAAAAAAAATAACTCAAAATAGTTATTATTAAGAACTTCAAAATATTGGTCCAAGGTTTGAGGGTCACTGGAAACTGGAATTACTTCTTTGTAAAAATAAAATTAAATGTTGCAACAAATAATAAAATGATATCCACTACAATGAAAGCGAAAAGTATCTTCATAGTTTTAAGGTTTTGACATTGTCATTTGATTTGCTTTTGCCCCTTAATTTTATCAAAATTCAAAATCTGTTTAATCATTTCCAACGAAATCGTTTTTACTAGGTTTGATTTGTTCAAATTCATGGACTTGTATCGCAAATACCTTTAAAATAATAAATTGGTTGCCATGTTTATGAATTATGACAAAACACAAGGGAATGATACTGATGGCCATTGTTGCAGCCGAAGCAGCAATTTAGTTCTTACACAAATTAATTATTTTCTTTCATGCCCTGAATTTGTATGTTATATAGCGTATTAATTTTCTTCTACCGTGCATGCCATCTCTTTTAAATTTCAACTTTAAGACCGTAAACACCTTGTATACTTGTACCTATCATCTGACCAAATTTTCATATTCACGAAGGAATAAGAAAGATGTTTCTCTCTTTTATTATAAACTGCTCCATTTGTTTTCATGACCTGGTGTGCACTCTCTTATTGGGTAACTATTCTTACTTGTTAGGAAAATAAAAGACAATAATAGAGTTGCAAAAATGTAATGAAATAAATCAGACTGTCTTGTAAAAAAAATCGAAAGATTTTGAAATTCATATTAACTCGTTTAATATTCTTCGCCACCTTCGCCTTCTCCTTCTCCGGAGTCCATGCCGACCTCTTCATAATCCTTTTCCAAAGCGGCCAAATCCTCACGAGCTTCAGAGAATTCACCTTCCTCCATACCCTCACCTACATACCAGTGAACGAAAGCACGTTTGGCGTACATCAAATCGAATTTATGATCCAAACGAGCCCAAGCTTCAGCAATGGCAGTGGTATTGGACAACATGCAAACAGCACGTTGTACTTTGGCCAAGTCACCTCCTGGTACAACAGTGGGTGGTTGGTAATTGATGCCAACTTTGAATCCGGTGGGACACCAGTCAACGAATTGGATGGTACGCTTGGTCTTGATTGTGGCAATAGCCGCATTGACGTCCTTGGGAACGACATCTCCACGGTACAACATGCAGCAAGCCATGTATTTGCCATGGCGAGGATCGCATTTGACCATCTGGTTGGCGGGTTCGAAGCAAGCGTTGGTAATTTCAGCAACGGATAATTGTTCATGGTAGGCTTTCTCGGCGGAAATGACAGGGGCGTAGGTGACTAGAGGGAAGTGGATACGTGGGTAAGGTACCAAGTTAGTCTGGAATTCGGTCAAGTCCACGTTCAAAGCTCCGTCGAATCTCAAAGAAGCGGTGATTGAGGAGACAATCTGGCCGATCAATCTGTTCAAATTAGTGTAGGTTGGGCGTTCGATATCAAGGTTGCGTCTACAGATATCATAGATGGCTTCGTTGTCGACCATGAAGGCGCAGTCAGAATGCTCCAAAGTAGTGTGGGTGGTCAAAATCGAATTGTAGGGCTCAACAACAGCAGTAGAAACCTGGGGTGCGGGGTAGATAGCAAATTCCAATTTCGATTTCTTGCCATAGTCAACCGACAATCTTTCCATCAACAAAGATGTGAAACCTGAGCCGGTGCCTCCACCGAAAGAGTGGAAAATGAGGAAACCTTGAAGTCCGGTACATTGATCGGCCAATTTACGGATACGGTCCAAAACCAAATCGACGATTTCCTTTCCAATGGTGTAGTGACCTCTTGCATAGTTATTCGCTGCGTCTTCTTTCCCTGTGATCAATTGTTCAGGGTGGAACAACTGACGGTAAGTTCCGGTTCGCACTTCGTCGACGACTGTAGGTTCCAAGTCAACGAAAACGGCTCTGGGAACGTGTTTTCCAGCACCGGTTTCGCTAAAGAAGGTGTTGAAACTGTCGTCACCTCCACCAACGGTTTTGTCAGAGGGCATTTGACCATCAGGTTGAATTCCATGCTCCAAACAGTACAATTCCCAACAGGCGTTGCCGATTTGGACTCCGGCTTGGCCGACATGGACTGAGATACATTCACGCTGAAAAAAAATTACCGAAATTAAAAAATTATTCTAGAACCGGCGTCAATCCAACATGGCTGCCGACCAACTGTCACGTTTTACCGGCAAAATTCTCAAAATTCAAGGAAATCACGCGGTCAAACGGCCGCAAAACAATAACTGAGATGAAAAATCAAATTACTTACCATTTTGGTTGTAGAGTTTTATAGATTACACCACAAAAAGAGCAGAAATACTGGAGTACGCTTCGGAAATACAAGCTCTGGCTTTTTCCAAACGACTTTGATTCGATTTTCAACTGTCGTTGCTATTTATAAGCTTGTTGACGTCAGCAACCAACGCCCGATTTCCAGCGATCTGATTGGCTCCCCGCCATGTCGGCACCAACGGTCTCTAACGGAAGATTGTTATCCTTGTTCTCGATCTCTTTTTAAATCAATATTAAAAAAAAAATCTGAGTTTCCTGTGACTAAAATTTGGATGTTTTATTCCGATTTTATAATTTTTTATACAATTTTGTATTTTATTTTCTACTTATTTTTCTTTGCATTGAGACATTATCAATTATTTTGCACAGCATGGTTTCCGGTCGTTGCACCATCGTACAAAAAAAACCGTTTGGAGATTATTCACTGCAGTCCAGTGTGAATTTCTGAGAATTTTTGTATAGAAATAATGAGAAAGAGTGTATAATAATCATTTTGAGACATTTTTCTCATGTTTGGATAGGTTATTATTTATTAGCTATTACAGAGAAATCTTTTCCCTTCGTTCAGAAAACAATAGATATGAAATCTTGTGATAAACTAAACTAGTTTCAAATGAAATATAATAGACATCTGTCACTGCAGTTAACACCAAAATCTTAAAATACTGTTTTCCAAGTGACGGGACTTTCTTTGACCCCAAAATAAACTTGCTCGTTCTCCAGCATTGCAGACAACAGACATACCCTAACCCAGAAGAGTTGCTATTAATAACACACGTATTTTCAGACCTTAAAAAATCAAAAATCCAAGAAACATCATCCCATTAATTTTTTGAAAACGAAATGAAGGGAACAAATTTTATTTTATTGATTAAATGATTAGGGTTGAAATTATTTGAAATAGAGTAGTAGTATGAATCATCCTGCGAAATACTGCTTTTGGTAGGGATTTGTGATATCACCTCCATATACGGAGACTATGAGGTCATCACATGCTGCAAAGCCTTATAAAATTCACTCAAATAAGGTGCTGCTTGTTTCTCAGCGGCCCACATAACACCCATTTGTGATTGCGTGAACAGCAGAGACCCAAAAGTTACCTGTGAAAGAAAGTAGGTGTTTTTTCAAGGCTGATCTCCATGGTCAATATGTTTACTTATAAATTACTTCGAAATATTTATAAAACACAATAATTAGTTTATGGCCCCTAAAGATAGTCTTCTAACTGTATGGAGACGCTTCTCCCCTCACTAAAAAATAATGCCTAATGTTTGTTTAAGTTATAAAGGTGATTCACGAGAAATAATGAGCCTGACCAAATTTTCGATGCAACCAACATTACAGTTGTCGCAAAATAACTTGCGAAGAGTAATGGTAGTTGCATCGAGAATTTGGTCAGGCTCATTATTCTTCGTGAATCACCTTGTATTTGATAACGAAAATATAAAAAAAAAATACACCAGAGAATTAAATTTTTAATCGTGCATGTAGTTTATTCACACTATAATTACTTAATTAAATGACAATTATATAAAAAAAGAGTCAGATATATTACGCATTTAAAAAGTTATAAACTACTCTTAAATTTGGGTGTATTTTTGGTTGCATAATATTAAAAAAATAATTGTTTTAAATTTTACTTATACAGCATGCAAACTTGTCTATATGTCTAACTTATAATTATACATTAATATGAAACCCGTAGTGCCTCAGCCAATCTATACATATACACAAAATTACGCATAATGATCTAAAATACTGTTTATTTCCAACTTATTACAAACTTAATAGGTGTTTAGGACACTCGGTTAAAAAAATTGGACACTGAAGTTTTTTGTTGGTACCTTTAATCTACTATTTTACAAATAATAATTTTTTGCATAATTTATTTAGCAAGTGCTTCCAATTCTGCAATTTCTTTCTCAGCAGCTATTTTCTTTTCAGCGGCTAATTTCTCATCACGAATGGCTTTCTGTTTAAGTTCAACTTCCCTAATAGCAGCTTCTTTCTTAGACAGTCTGCTTTGGTGGAATGCCCCATACAAGACTCCCACTGTGAGCAAACTCCATCGGCTGAACTAAAATTTGAGGTTAGGTCGATTATGTAACTTTGAAAATGTAATCAGTGCTAAATATTATTAAATAACCAAAAATATTACTTTGATAAGTGGTGAAACACGAACTGGAGCTGGTAGACCAGACATTTTCAGTTTATTGAAGATATTTACAATAAATTTTGAGAACAGTGATTCAAACTGTCAAATGTGCTGTCAAACTAATGTCAAAAAATTGACATATTTGACGGTGGCATGCGCGTAGAATTTAATATAATTGAAAAAACTGTCTCAAATGTTTAATGATTGTGCAACAATTTTTTTAAGCAAAAATAATTAATGCTGTATTTTTTATTTTTCTACAACAAAATTAATCAAATAAAATTCACTAGTGTTACCACCAACGGTACAAAAATCCCTATATTGAATGACAGTATAAATGTCAACTACGCATGTTTATTACTCCTTCCTTTACTACTCTATTTCTAATTCAGTTACTTGATTACGATACGAGTGATAAGAGCGTAGATGAATTTATATTAATTGTTATCAACTTAATCATTCAGTATTTAGTCATACCATGTGCGTGTTACATCGTTAATGTGATTTTTTGTTAATTTAAATTTCGCTTTTACAATGGCGGGTATTTTATCCCTGGTTTGGTTTATTGGTTCAGTTTTAGTAACGCCGTTTTTGGTGATTTTATTATGTATTGTATTTCTTGCCTCTATTGGAAAGTCATTAGGTGTTAGAAGACTTTATGTTAAACTTCTTTTAATCATATTTGAGGTAAGTGATAACAATTTTTCCAGGAAGTATCATCACCAATCTGGGCATCAAATGCGTCACGAAGTCAATTTTTATGTTGTTTTTCACAATGAATATTCAGTTATTGGAAGCCAAGACAAATCAACAATTGGACTTTGATGAAAGTGCAAGCACCGTCATAACTTTTTTTAGATGAAAAATCAACAGGGTACTAGAACCACCAAAACACTTTGTTTTAAAAGGTTTTTTTAGTTTTACAAATTGGACCATAGTTTCACTTTCTTCAAGTTCTTGGCATGCAAGACGCAATTTTGTGTTATTAATTTCGTAACTGTTGGGTCAGGTCAGGTCAAATTTAAATATGTGTTTTGTTTATTATTGATTTCTAGCACGTGAAAATCATTTGATGTCCATTACGAGTATTTGATGATAAATTTATCCAACATGCCTCGGAATGTAATCAGTTTGTTTAAATCGTGTCGGTTTCTTGATTCTCAAATGTTATATTGTAATGAACAAAAATAGTATAAATTTCTGGAAGTAACCAGAAAGTTTTCGATTTTTTGATAGGTATTTAAGCATGCTCATGCTCACGTATTTTTTTCCTCATAAGATTTATTCAGAATTCAGATACATTTTTATCGTTAGCCTTAGATCAACTTTGAGGACCTTGTCCTTGTAATGAATTTAAAATATTGATTGCAATTAGGTAGTCGTCTCTAATTTTTATTCTAAATATTCTTCTTACTTTCTCTACATCTACAAATACGTCCTTTTAAACTTTCTCCAGCCTAAAAAAATGTTTGATGTTGTTTTTCTATTTCATTTAAATTGAACTCCTATATGTTATTGCAGTAATTTACATTTGTCGTTAAATTTATGTATTGTAGATATGTACAGCCACAACATTGCTTTTAAATTTTAAACACACTTGACATAAGTTTGAGTACCGCAATTACCTGAAAAACAGTTGTAAATACTGATAAATAATTTAACTCACGGAAACATTTCTTTTTATTAGTTATTTTTAAGTTGTTATGAAAGAAATTTTTAAATTTGAGAATCTCGGTTGAACGTTTATAAATTCGTTTTCTAGCGTGTATCATTTTCAGGTTGGTTAGGTCGTAATTTTTGTCTTTTACAAGTAAATAAAATAAATGAGCAAATGATGGGACTTGGTTCGAGGACGTTCACAAGTGTTTTGAACAATGGGATAAATTTGCCATATTTTGAACCTTGATAAACAATAAATTGAGTAGTTCAAAGTACAAAATAATTGTTTTTTATTAATTGCCAGTGATTGGTTTTGAGTTTGTAAACTAATTTTTGGTTATTATGAGTAATTACCGAAAATTCTGATTAAGAACGTTATGATTGTGCTAGTGCAAAGGTGAATTCCAAGGCTGGAGGAATTCCTAAATGAATGAACTTTGGTTTCTCTTGAGTTTAATGCGTTTTGTGTCCTCTCAAAGATATAAATTAATGTCAAGGTTTTTATTTGGATGTTTGTTTTACAGTATGGTCGTGCAAACATTGAAACCGCTCAAAAACAAGCACACCGAAATGAAGACAGCGACGACGATGAAATCACTGCCCCCAACAACAACACCGCCGATGAACTCAAAGACAAACTTATCAAGCCGCCAAATGGCATTAAAAAACCCAACAATGGCTACGTGCCAAACGATAATTCGGTTATAAGCAGAGATGATAAATTGATTTTGTTGCCCGAACCTTTGCAGAAAAAGGACGAAAGTGGAGAGATAACCGAAACTAAGGTTTTATTCGACAAAATTAAATTATTTTGTTATTTCGTAATTTTTTGCTTTAGGATGAATACAAGGAATATTATTTGAGCAGTATTTTTGATTATTTGAAAGCCGGTATGGAAGCCATCATCGAAGATCAAGTCACGTCGAGGTTTGAAGCTGAAGAATTAAAGAATTGGAATTTATTGATTCGCACCAATCGGAGATACGAATTTATATCATGGAAACTTACCGCGATATGGGTGTGCGGATTTTTCGTCAGATATTTCTTCCTGTTTCCGTTGAGAGTCACCATTTGCTTTTTTGGGGTACGTATTTTTATGTTTGAACGCAATTTTTTTGCGTGATTATTTTGTCATTAGCTGCGAAAGTAATTATAATTTTGTGATGGAAATAGGTCGGATATTGCATTACATTATTATTGCAAGGTCTTGCAAATTTTATTTTAGCCGTCTTGTAACAAATTTACTGATAAAATGGTACATTTCTCAGAACTTTGAACCAACAACACTTAAACAATGGAGGTGATAAAAATATGTATTAGTGGTCGTAAAAATAGAATTTTTTGATAAAAACAAATTTAAATGGTTGATAAAAATAAACAAATGTTTCAAAATCACATTATGTAACTGTACAAACAAACTGACTACAGAAAAATTGAATTAGAAAGAAACAGTTTTATAAATGTCCTTTTTAAAATGCGATACTGAATATCGTTACAAACCTTAACAAAAGAAGCACAAAAGTGGATGTTTTAAATTGAGAGAGGCAAAATAGTGACACTAAGATTATTTGCTATTATACAAATCAATTTATCAGTTGTACTTTGTGCAAGATTAACTAAGATAAGGTTCTTACGTCCAAATAACCGTAAAATAACCAAATTTGTACGATGTTCTGCTTATTTTAAGTAAAACGTTATACTATTTTTCCCTGTGATGAATTGAATTTTTTAAAAATCGTCTCAAATAGCTATTTACGGTATTAGACCGATAGCAACATTTTTATAGCCGCGCCAGTACTTTACAGGTCGAGCCATATGGGGAGATCTGTGTATTATGTTTAGCAAGGCCATAAATGCTACCAGTCGTATATTGTATAAGATTTTTTAGGATATTGCAACAGTCACTTTCAAGTTAAGCAAAAATTCATGAAAACAAAAATTTAATTAGCGTTTACATAGTTGCAAACAAGTTTGGTAGACAGTAGTAGTCTACTACCGGACTAGGACGGTAAATTTTATCTACCGGACTCCTTTGTAGCTACGTAAACGCTAGTTACCAATTCAGTATTCTAAAAAATATCATAGAAAAGGAAAAACTTTACAACAAAAATATGAATCATAGATACGTATTAAACTAAAGCACAATTCAACAGATTTTTAGTTTTTAAATATTGTTTAAAGATTGAATGTGTTAAATGAATAATTAAGAAATTTTTTTTAGAAGTAATTACACAATGTTTATTCATTTATTTATGTTCATTTTTATGGCCTATTGCTGCGAAAGTACCTATTGTTTTAGTGGTTTACTTTGTGCCATTACTATCGCCACAAACGTCGGAACGGCGTTTTTTGAGGTAAAATATGAAAACATTTAATTTCTATGTAAAAGAAGAATTGCAACTGAACAGAAATATAGAATACAGAAAAAACATTCTGACAAAAGTGGCGATAGCTATGGCACGAGATATAAATACCTTAATTAATTCAAGTAAATATTTGAATAAAATTTCCTCTCCTTATTTTTCGAATTATACTCAGTGACATTAGAAGTGTTACACCCAGAAAAAATGTTTTTTCGAATTTGATTTTTTGGCAATATGGAAGACTTACATCAAGAATAAATCGATGAGATTTGCAAGAAATTTTATTAACATTAACTTGAAAAAAAATCAATAATGTGTTTATATTTACAACAGTGCGTTTGGATGGTGGGCTTGACGCCATTGTTGGGCGCCTTACCCGATAGTTCCTTCAAACGGTGGATCAACTCGAAAGCCTACATAATAGCCTTCCGCATTATGGCCCGTTCCCTAACTGGCGTAATTCGCATTCATAATAAGCAATACATGCCTAAGAAGGGTTCCGTGTGTGTAGCAAACCACACCACCCCTTGCGATGTTGTTATTTTATCCACAGATAATTGTTACTCGTTGGTGAGTCGAAGGAGAAACAAACTATCCAGGGGGCTTTAGAATTTAGTTTTGCTTTTGTCGCTTTATGTCCTCGAATATGTTTTGTGATGTTTTACAGGTGTGGTGGTTGACGTTGTGTACGGCATTAGTTGGGTATGTGAAGGAGGGCAATTTTAAACAAAAATTAAATAAGTACGTGTCAATTATGTGCTTTGGAATTTTGTCCAATGCGATATCTTCAGTCATTACGTATCATAATGAAGAGAATAAACCCAAAAGTGGGATTTGTGTTGCCAATCATACGTCGCCGATCGATGTACTTATATTGATGTGTGATAATTGTTATTCTTTGGTAGGTTGCCCCCTTGTTGTGTCTGCGCGTATAGGTTGACCTCTATGAGTGATTCGAGTTATTGACTCAACCTTGGCCCACGGGTCAACAATCGGTTTTTTTCTCACCCTGTATAATCACCACAGAGGTTAGCCTGCGCCGTGTTTAGTTTCCGGTTCTGTTAATTAAAACGCTTGGGTTTAGATTTAATGAAATAATTTTAGATTGGCCAAAGTCACGGCGGCTTTTTGGGCATTTTGCAGCGAGCTTTGGCTCGCGCCTCCCCACATATCTGGTTCGAGAGATCCGAAGTTAGAGATCGTCATGCAGTAGCAAATAAGTGAGTCTAGAACCCGATCTATTTTCAGTTTTATTTTCGTGTATTTGTTTAGATTGAAAGAGCACGTGTCCAACCCCAAAAATCCTCCCATATTGATTTTCCCCGAAGGCACTTGTATTAACAACACGTCCGTAATGCAGTTCAAGAAAGGGAGTTTTGAAGTTGGTAGTGTTATCTATCCTGTGGCCATAAAATACGATCCACGTTTCGGCGATGCTTTTTGGAATAGTAGTAAATACTCAATGATGCAATATTTGTATATGATGATGACCAGTTGGGCCATCGTTTGTGATGTTTGGTATTTACCACCGATGCAACAGGAAGAGGGCGAGAGTGCTATAGATTTTGCAAATCGGGTCAAAAGTGTGATAGCTAAACAGGGAGGGTTGGTTGACCTGGTCTGGTAAGTGTCTTTACTTTGTTAAAGTTATGACTTTATGAGATTTGGTTGCAGGGATGGTCAACTCAAACGTACAAAACCAAAGAAAGAGTGGCGCGAACGGCAACAAGAAGAGTTCAGTAAACGACTTAAAATAGAATAGGCCGTTGTATTATCGGCGCGATTTTAATTCTGTTATTCATTTTTTACACAAAAACCATCTAGTCTCATAATTTTTCAATCTGTTTCATCGTGATAGAAGTAGATATTAGATTCACTTTAGCGTTATTATGAATTGCGTAATTAGAGTAATTTGAAGTACATTTTTTGGCCTAAATGTTGTTTGTTTGATGCTTCAAAGTCTTCAAGTTGCTCATATCAGTGTCAAAATTTCATGTAAAAATGCAGAATGTATTTGACAATATAAATGAACTGAATATTATTTTGTCCACAAAAAGCTTCAAAGTGTTACACAGTACTGGAAATGCATTTATTTGTTATATTTTTTTTATATTGAGGAAGACTTATTATTGAGAAGAGGCCTTTATGTAACTGTATAAAATGTATATTTGGCTACGATTTTTTTAGTAGTACTAAGTTTTAGTATTTATTACAGTGTAAATATAATTGTACATTATAGTTTTTGTATTATTACTTGTAATAAATACAGATTTACTTTTTTTCTACATACTTATTTATACTATTCTGCCCTTTTACCCTCTGGACTTCCCAAACTTTTATTAAACATCTCCAAAAGTTCTTCAGTTGCAGTCTTTGGTAGATGTTTAGGCCTGGACAAGTCTTTATCTGGGAATTTCGCCAGATTTTCAGCTGGGTCTTTGAAAGTGTATGGAGTCCAAGGTCCTTGAATAGATGGATGATCAGTATGGAGTAGTTTCCTGTATCTGAAACCAGTTGTATCCCCTGACTGCGTCTTTAGTAAATTTAACCATTTAGTTATTTCTTCTTGGGAAAGATTTCTACAGTTGATGTATTGCTTATCACCATTCACTACAAACAGTAAAATCCATTATCACAAAGGAGACAATTAAACAAAGTAATTTACAATATTCGGCAGAAATAACAGCAGTCCTGTGCCTTCTTGGTTTTAGATAAACCACAATTCCAGGATTGTCTTTAGCAAAGTCAACTAGTCCAGATTCTATAAAATCTCTAAAATTATAATATTTTCATTAATACTAAACAAGCAGAGCCAGAAAAGGGGTCACCTCATTCCTCTACTTGACCCGTTGTTTTTGCAGAATTTCAACACAACTCTCTGCAGTTGACACACGTATCTTCCAACCCCATTTTGTGAAGGAGTTCTTATGAAACCCGATTTGAGAAATAAGTGGCTATTGGACATATTTTTCCTGAAAAAATTTAACTCTTATTTATAATTGAGGTTATGTTAAAGCGTTACGAAATCTGGGAGTCGCGAAAATGGAAAAATTAATTATCTTATTTATTTTATATTAAAAAAATATTTTTGACAAAAACTATGAAGCCAGAATTTAATTGCGTAAACAACTATGCTACGAATTGTATAATTAGTATCTTTTTTAATAATATTTTCATTGAATATAGACTTCGTTAGGGTCAGACAAGTCTTCATTTTCTTCGTCGGTAAAGTAGAACACTTGACTTTGTATATGTCGTGAGAGGACTCTGTAAGTCCATTTTGTAGCCTACTACGCAAAAATACAAAACGCATGAATATTATAATTTGAATTTTTTTAAAACTTGTCTATTTTAATATAAGTTTAAAACCAAACGTTGGAGATTGTTATTGATGTTAATAGGAGAAAATATTATAAACACCCAAAAAAAATTTGATTTGATAGTTTATTAAGAAAACAGACGAAATATTTTTTTTTCTTTATTTTATTCTATTATTTTAAATTTGAAAGAAAGACGGCAAGATCCATCATAAAGGCACTTTCAATTAAGCCGGTCGTCTCATGCCCCACTTTAATTTAGCAGTTTAATAATAAAGTGGATATGTGGCAACTTTTCAATGTAGAATAATAAAGGGCGGCTAGCAGCTATGAAAACGAGGATCGTGCCATTCACGCGTCGTTGCCCAAGCGGGACCGTATGAGGCCAACAGTCCTACATCACCGGAAGTTCCTATTAATTGATTTCGTCTTCATTAAAATTACTTTTTTCATTCTAAAACTCCAGTCTATCACATTACTGCAAAACCATTAAAAGGACACTGACCCAACGATTACCATATTATGCAAAAAATAGCGAAACAGATAACGACATAATTTGTGCTTTCACTATTGTCACTAGTCTAGAACAGGATGAACGAATCCGGCAGGAAATACCGTTTAATTAATTGCATAATTGGAGAAAATTACTGAAAAGGAAGGCAACATTTTTACCGAAAATGTGTCAAGGGACATAAAACGTATGAAAATAATAATGCTTTGTTTTCTTAACAGGTTTTATGATTGACACATTAAATCACAATCGTTTCGGCAACGAGAAATTACGCAAATTTTCTTATCTTTTGTATACACAGTAGGTGGTTTTAATAAAAGTGAGGAAAAGCGAGGCGCCGAATGATATCAGCCGGTTCATTTAAATTATATGGCATATGCTAGGAGGGAAGATTTCGGCATTAAATTTTCCACCTTTCTTTCCCCTTTCACTGATGAATTTCCACAATGTTGAATAAAAAACGAATTAGGAAAGGATTTTAGCACCAAAAAGGGTTTACAACCTCAATTTATTCACTTAAAAAACTATTAATGAGCATTCTCACGAACTGAACACTGTGTTTTTTCTATTTAAATTTGATTAACTGTGTATGTAATGCAAGTGAATAAAAAGAACAAATTTGTTTTCATCATAAAAGTACCAGAGGCGCCACCTAAATTTTTTTATGTCGTCATAAAGTTAATGTATATTGCTTTCGAGCTAGTAAATTGCATCAAAATCGGTTTTAAAAATAAAATTTTTATAGTCGTGTAATTTTCTTCCGGCCCTTATTACTTATCAAACTGGTTTTGTCAAGACTTTATTGCAAATTAATTTCATGGAAACAATTTTTCTCCAACTGTCATCACTAAACATGTCAAAATTTCAAGTTTAAAATTACCGAAATGGCTTCTTACACCAAACACAATGAAGATTCGTTACCGAAAGTGATAATTTGTGGCATGACCGAGAACAACATGCCTAAGTTAATAGTCTGCGATGACAAGAAAATACAAGAAGACGAAGTCTGTACAGCGCAGTGTAATCAGAAAAGTTCCCGTGAGGATGTGGCCCCCAATCTGTCCCAAAGACTCGTCAATATGCAAAAGCAGCTCGCGGCAGGGAACGCCGGTCTCACCGGAATGAGTCGTAAATTAGAATCCGATTTAATGCAGAAAAACCAAACGATTGAAAATCTGCAACAGCAATTGTGCCAACTCCAGTGCGAAATGAATAACATTTCCAAACAGAACGCAATCCTCAATGAAAAAATCCAACAAGCGACCGGCCAAAAACCAGATAAACAAATTCCGTGCGGAAAAACCTATGCGAGTTTAGAGACTCGTCTGAACGAGTACACGGAAAATACGAAAGCTCTGGAAAAACAGTTGTATGAAATGGAAAGTCATGTTGAAGCGATGAAAAGTGCACTGACGACGGTTCAAGCTGAAAGGGCCAATTTGGAGAAAAATAAAAATATTCTTATGCTTTGTCCGCCGCCGGCATGTCCCACACCCATGTGTCCCCCACCCTCCTGCCCGAAACCACGTCACTGTAACTTTAAGGGGAGCATCTCAGAGCAACAACTGGTCAATCTGGAAAAAGTCTACAGTGCGGAAACGACGACTATTTTTAAGAAATTCTCACAAAAGCTCGCAAATTTGGTGAAATAAAATGTGCTAATCTAAGAGTGGGTTTCACTCATTTATTTCGACGTCATAACGATACGTATTTTACTATTATTTTTGACTAGTAATTACAAAATACCTATATATAAAGACCAGTTAACTGTCTTACGGAATTGTTTAAATTTTGTTATGAGAATAAGAGTTTGTAGAAAAGGTAAAATAATTTTTTTGTATACGCTTCCGAAAATACCTACCTAAAATGAGTTTTTTTCGGATTCAATAAAATAGTACGTAAAATGGTTATTTTAGGTTCTCAGTACCTAAAATACAGTTTTGTATCGTGGTTTTTCCGGGTAAAAAACTTAATTTGGTTACTATGGTCGCAATTTTTTTTTATTTAATAAAAGGTACTTGTAACAAAAATATCTATTTTAATTTAAACTTTTACATTGAGTACACAAAAACTAGCAAATTCAACTTGTAAGAAAAATTGTCTTTTCTTATAAAACAATCTACTACTGGTATAAAATTTGTCTTAAGAGAGCGGAATCAAAGCATGTCTTTGAGGTACATAGCTTGTTAAAAAATTCCGTGGCGCTGCGGTCGACTAAAATTAAATGATGGCAGTAAAACGGCACGGAGAAGGTATCCCTTTTCCAATACAATAGACTAGCACTATATTTTGCCTTCTATTTCTACAAAAAGTTAGAAGAAGATTACGCTTATAATACCAATCACGGCTCTCAGCTGTTACATAAAATAATAAATTATAATTATACAAATATTTAATACTAGACAATGCACCTCATGGTTATACAATTCCGTACTAAAGATAAAAGTCTGTACTTAGTATTCTTTGAGTTAGATCTCATTTTTTGGCTTTGTCGACTGTGGCGCCGTCTGGTTTCGCTCACTGACCTTAAAATTTTGAAAAAACTTTAATATCATTTTTTTAGTTTTTAAAAAATATGGAAATTGCTTATTTTTGATTTATACAACTAACTGGACATTTATTTATTGATAACATTTTCTTCTTAAACAAATATTCTGCTATGTTTGTAATGAATTTTTTTTGTTATTATCAAAAAAATGTTTTGATAATTTANATATTTTTTTTTCATTTTGAAATTTTTATTATGAGATTAAGAGCCTGTGAAATAAGTAAAATTGTTAGTTATAATGTTAAAATTAATGTTTGTTGTTTTTTTGTATAAGAATCTATAGTACCTAGTTGAATTTTTAACTGGAACAAAATTCATAATTTGCGTATAAGCGATTTTTCTAAAAAAACCTGAAACAGGTCGATTTTTATTTTTCCTTGCGCATCATTTGACACATACGGTTTTTGTTTACCTGCTTTCTGAAATGCACAACCACCTATAACTTTTTTTTCAAATGTAATGATATGACAAGTGACACCTCATTTGGAAGCCCACGTCACAAGCAATACAACGCAGTATTTGTTTTCTGAATACTTTCAAAGTCTACGTAATAAAAAAATAAGAACAAAGTCTTAACTTAAATACTATTTAATGCAATAAATGTTCAAAATGGACACCGATCTTTTCCGGGGGAAAATTGCAAATTAAAAGTAGGTAACATGCATTTCTTATCTTTTGCAACATTTCTGGTGATTTGCTTAATTTTATTCTTAAAACGTTCCTTAAGGACCTCAATGGTATTCGATTTTGTTCCAAATCACACTTGAAATGTTGCAAAACGTAAGGAATACATGTTACGATCGTTTTGCAGTTTGTCAGGAAAGGACCGATATCCATTTTGAATATTTGTTGCATTAAATAGGATTCATCTTATAAGATTGGTTTTATTTTTTATCACGTAGGCTTTGAAAATAATCAGAAAATAAATAGTACATTGTATTCCTTGCAAAACGACCTTTCAAACGAGGTGTCATTTCTCAAATCATTACATTTATATTATAGGTGGCTGTGCATTTTAGAAAGCAGATAAACAAAAATCATAAGTTTCAAATGATGCGCAAGGAAAAATAAAAATCGACCTGTTTCAAGATTTTTTACAAAAACCGCTTATATTCAAATTATGAGTTTTATTCCAGTTAAGAATTCCACTCTGTATAACGGATGTTTTTTTTAGATTTAACATATTAATTAATGGTTTATTGTTAACGTACCACAATTTCTAAAACGCCCGGAGAGGTGTCAAATGTTGATGAATGATTAGTGTATGTATTTTAATATTCAATTCGATGGTTCGTTCACAATTAAACTTTTTTGACGCTAAATTTGTCTCAAAATTGACGTCAGTTCTTTCGGGGTTTGTTCTAGAATGTAGAATGAAAACACAAATCGAAAAGTAAGAGAGTAGAAAATTTTTCGATGATTCTTCCTTATCGAGTTATTGATGAAAAATGAAAACTTAACATTAACTTTCAATTTTATTAAAATTATAAAGCAAGATATCTTGTTACCCGGGGAAAAACTATTCACCAGTCTAACTTTCTGCTCACGCTGCGCTTTGTTGCAATAGTGTTTCAAACTACCTCTGTTATCATAAAATATGCTCAAATTGGTTTCCTCTTACTTCAAACATATGCGTGATTTATCCTGGAAGCATAAACGTTCTGAAATTATGTTACACAATAATAATTGCAGCGATCGTATGATAAAACTTATTATTTACTTTTTATCAATAACTTGGTAACGAAGGACAAGTTTTCTACTTTTAATTTTCGATTTGTGTTAGCTCC